CCACCTCTGTCGCGGGTTGGCCCGGTATTGCAGTACCGCCGGGATTTCGGCCCAACTTGATAATAAATTTAACAAATTAGCTTAAAAAATACAACAAATCTTTAGAGTAATCTGTAGTTGATAGAAAGATTCTCTTTTAAAATTGTTAGACTATAAGAATCACCTTTCTATGTTCATCTTGTATCCTTTACTATCGGTCTTGTTTTCTATGTTAAATTATCTTTATAAATTCGAGGTTAGTACATATTTTTTCTCTGTGCAGGAAGTGAGATCTGGTCTGACCACCCCATATACTCCACAGATATTTCGTCGTGGATCCCCATTAAATGCGCACCGGGCCAAAAGGATGTTGGCGGAGATAAGCAGGCAAATAAGTTGGCTTACGCTAGAAAAGGAATTAATAATGCTGAAATGATGGGCTTCTCAGTTGCCCAGAGAATCGGAAATGCGAAACGAGGTAATGGAAAATGCAGGGAAACTGCATTCAGATGATCTTGGAAGGAAATCGCTAAATATATTTACTCCTCACTCTGAATATTTACTGCTTTTCCTGGAGCTACATATAATCTGGTCTTGAGTATCTTTCCTTTCGCTCGTTCAACTAGTATTCATTAGTTTATTTATGAGAAAAGTGAATACAATAATAAAGAAATATAAAATCAAGTCTTTATTGTTATGGTTTACAAGTATAAAATTATGATGATATAATAATTAAAGTAATTTCTATATTTACCATTTTTAACTATATTTGTTATGCTAAAATTAAAGAAAACAATTCAGAAGGTAAATATGTTTTTGTGGTCTTGATTATGTTATTAAATTTATGAGAAAAGTAATTTAAATAATTAAAAACTATAAAATCAAAGCATTTATTTTGTAGGTTAATTAGTATACAATATTATGGTAACCAATTCATTGATTTCTTAGTATAAAGTTATGAACTCATCATTTTTATATCTATCATTTGTTTTTAGTGCCGAAATTGAAGAAACCAATTCAGAAGGTACCTATGTAAATGTGGACTTGATTAAATTAGTATTATTTTATTTATGAAAAAAATTAATAAAATCATTTACAACAAGCTACTTTTTGAAAGTTTTTGAGTATATGTATGTAAATACATGGTATTTCAAAAGTAATTTTCTCTGATGAAAACATTAAAGAAAATAATTCAGATGGTGCTTTTGTACAGAGTATTTTTCATTACTAAGAGCATTAACCAAAATAATCTAAATAATTAAATGAATTCATTATTTTGTTTATTTTTAGGAATAAAGTTATGGTTTTATAACCATTAGTAAATAATGCATAAATTAACGAAATTAATTTAGAAGCTATTTAGGTACATATGTATTTATTGCTTTGAGAAAAATGAATAAAGAATAGAAATATAAGATCAATTCCTTATCTAGTTGGTTTATCTAAAATTTTTAAAGTAATTCCATTATTATCAATTGGTTTCTTATACATATGTGGTCTTGACAATGTTACAAAATGGGTTGTTTATATCTATAAGAAAAGCAAATAAAATAATTCTTTCTTTTACTTGAACCTTTATTAACTTATCCGTAAATTAAAGAAAGTACTTCTTACCCCAACTTCCCCACACGATCCGTTAAAAAAAAACACTGAGATTTAATGATTTTTGAAACTTAATGTTGTGTTCGGCGCACTCAGGAACATAAAGTTCAACACTCGAGGATCGACCCAGGCAAATCTTACAAATTAAACGCATTCAAGTGCAAGGTCCAGGAATTTTGATTGGGTCAAGCGAGTCGGCGGAGTCGCGCGGTAGCTGAAAAATGCCATAACAAAATGTGTCAAGTGCCAGACATAAATGCCTAAGTAAGAGCTGGAGCCCAGCTCCAGCTTCAGCTCCAAGTCCAGCTACGGGGCGCAGGTTCGCTGCATTGCATCCTCTAAAGAAGGAAGAAGGAACAATGCCATGGCTGAGGCGGCCTGCGGCCTTTTTGCTGTTTGCTCTCGCCATTCGACATGCGGCTCCTCGAATCGCATCGCATCGGATGGGATCCCCTTTGGATCCGCATCGCATTCCCTTGGATCGCCTTGGAACAATAAATTTTCGGTGCGTCACTTTTTGTTTGCTTCTTGGTTTTGAACTGGTTCGAGATCGGTTTCGGTTTCGGGATCGGGTTGAGAGTAGAGGTTGGACCTCGGTTTCTTCTGTGAGCTTTCCAATTAAAAATGCGCAATTGGGCTTCCCAATCGAAGCGACTTGTACTTATTTGTAAGTTGCACGCATGCTCCAGCTTCGTCTCCGCGGAAGGAATGCTCTACATGGGCTGTACTCTGGGTCCTTCTCTGCCCCATCTCTTGCTCCTTGTAGAGTTTCCATTAATTTACATAAAAATATCTTAATTGCAAGGCTGCGAAGCCAAAGTCGACGGCGATTCGATATTTTTTGTTCTGCGCCTATCAATGCCATGTCATGTCCCCGACGCCTTCAGCTCAGATCTCTGTTGCTACACAGAAAGAAACAAAAGCAATTAAGTTTATGCAAAAGATTTAAAGCAATTGTACGTTATTTAAAATTGTACGTTATTTAAACTTCATAATTTGTTTTCTTTTTATTTAGTTAAGCCAGTTCAAGGAGATTTGAAAAACTCAAGAGATGAAAGGTTAAGGTGTTAAACTTATCAATATCTGTGCCTTATTATATAAGAAATTATATTCCCCGGTTGGATAAATGAAGATACTTTAAAGTCCTTTGGTTTTAAATCAAAACATAGTTAAATTTTTCTAAAAATTTTGATAAACTCAAAAAAATTTTAATTAATTTTATTGTAAATACCTAAATAAGACAAATGAAAGCAATGAATTGTGTCTAATCTAGTAAAGCCTTTTAAAATTAACTAAAATATATGAATCAATGGTACTAGGTTTAAAAATAAAAACTTTTAAATATTTCAAATGTCTATATTTTAATATAATCTTATTTTAATAATCAAATCAACGAACCAAATATAAATACTTAAAAAAAAAGAATTTAAGCACTGAATGGACTCTAATCTAGTAAAGTCTTTTATATTAAATTAAAATATTTGAATCAATGGTACTAGTTCCCAAAAAAACGTTTAAATATTTGAAATATCTATATCTTCACCCAATTTTAGTTTAATAAACTAATTAACAAACCAAATTAAGTCTAAATTTTTAGGTATATTTTTTCTTAATGTGAAGTCTTCTGCCCACTGACAAATTTGTGCATCTCCGCATCAAGATTGTCCATCGAGATCCACAAGAGAAGCAGGGGCAGAGGCAGAGTCAGGCAGGCAACACATGTCGTGCGACACTTGCCACTCGCGAGTTGTGGAGCAGCCGCTGTCCACGGTGTCCACGATGTCCATGATGTCCCATGTCCCATGTCCAACGTCCAATGAGCCCGACCGACTCCTTTGTCCATGCATAATCGCTGATAAATGCGGCTTTCGGTGCTGCAAAAATGATTTGTTGATAATTAATGCAGTCGGAAGGGGCTACGAAAAAAAAACTGGGGGACAAACCGCCCAAAAACCTGTTTGCCGCATGCCGCAAAAAAAAGATATATTTAAAAAATGTATAAAAAAAACAGCAGCCAGCAATTTGTGCAAAGTTGTGGCTGTTGTTGCAATCAGGCCTTAAAGGCAATCAACGCACAGTAATTCATGCCGCCTGACAGCACCAGCTCCATTCTCCATTCTCCCGATCCCGATCCCCATCCCGACTCCATCCTGATCCCGACAAGAACTACCCCCCATTCTTCCTGGTTTTGAACTCCAACCGAAAATAAACCGAGTGTAAATCGTTTGCTAGGTTCTTTTTTTCTTTTTCTTCAGCGCCTTCGTCACGCAGCTAATTGCAAGGCATTGGTGGAGCGGCGGGGAAGTGGGCCAACATGATCGCAATTAATGCGACTAAAGTTAGTTGGCTGCCTAATCGTGGCCACTTGATCAATTTGGCACGCAATGCAATGCGGGAGAACCGCAGATTTTCCCCATATCTTCAGGAATTTCGTGGAAAATTAGAAACAAGAATTTAAGTAGGTTATACAGTTAGGAAAAAAAAAATTAATTTCACTATGAACTATTAGGAAAATTATTTTATTTTAATCAATTATATAGAAATAGCAAAATCCTAAGTAAAATTGATACATCACAATTCTCTTTTTTTTGGTTTAAACAAAATGTAAAGAAAGATTACATATTGTTAAAGAATTTCCAATAATAAAACAAAATATATAATAAAAAGGTATAATCTTGACAATTAATATAAAAAAATAGGAAAACGTTCAGTAAAGATAATCCATAATACGGATTCTTTTTGTACATATAAGCAACAAATTCTCTTCGCTTAATTTTTTACTTAGCATTATTAGAAAATAAAATATAATATTGTTCATACATACATAGTTGCACTCAATATTATTAGAAAACATAATTAATGCAATCTTGAGTAAGTAATATACATGAATAGCCTAACGTTTAGTTAAGATATTATTTACAAATTTTATATGATTGAAAGCCTTGTAACATCTTGCTTAATTTATAATTTAGCATACAGTGTAAAGATATTCCATATTTATGCCTACATATTAGTAACGAATTCTCAAAAAAAAAGTTTCACTCAGCAGTATTATAAATTAAAGTATATTGTCTCGATATATATTATAAAGAAATAGCAAAGCGTTCAGTTAAGTTTACACATTTTAATCCTTTATATGTTGCTACAAAAACTACATATTAAGAAATTTTTTGTGTATATGTATTTTAATACTAATTATTTCTCAAGAACATAAATAAAATATATAGTAAAAGATTTATTTAATGAATATGACAATCTAAATGCCTACAAATAAGGCTTAACAACAAAATCTATTCTATACCTAATCGTTACTTACTAACGTAACTAAAAGCTCGCGTTTGTAACGTTTTGCGAAAGCTAGACAACCCTGAAATCCCCTCCCTATTTCGCTTTCCAACACTGATTCGTGGAGCAAAAAAGCTGCTTCGCCTTAGTTTTCAATTTCAACTGCGCGCAAATTAGTAAATTCCCGAAAATGAATCTACTAAATATGCTTTTGGAGACGGACTCGATGGTCAAGATGGTTACCAAGGATGCGGAGCAGTGGCAGCAGTCTATTCAAGGTGGCCGGCTGACCATGAAGCAGGTTAAGACCATAAACCTTCAGATTTTTGACACCGAAAATCAACTGAACTCCCGGGACTCTCGTCGCTATCTGCAAACGCGGGAGAAACGTATCAATTACTTGTTCGAGCGACTCCAGCAACCACTATGGACGATGAACCAAATCCTCAAGACTCTGACGCGGATCAGGGACAACACTGACCGGATGCACAATCGCCTTGCGCTCTGGATGGACGATCCGAACGTGGCAAAGCACAAGATCGCCTCCAATCTGAGATCCCCGGAACTGCTGGAGCTATTGGACTTCCTCAGCGGGCGTTACAGTGCCGAGTGGGAGGTCAAGGAGGTGGTTGTGAGTGAGTATGTGTGATCTTGCCACAAAGAGATATTTCTTAGAATAAAGCTTTATGTTTGCGAGTCGCGAAGCCAAAAACTGTTATACTCGGCACTTGACGATTTCATTAACTTTAACTTATTAAATTGAATTTTCGGTAATTTATCTTAATGGCCCAAAATCCAACGTTTCTGAAATGTTAAAAGCTTATTACAGTCTCAAAAGATTAAACAGTTCCTCACAAATAACGGTCATCAAGTCTTTAATAATTTCCAATCAACAGAATCTGCCTTATTAGCATCTGAAAATGTTTGATATTATATAGTTTGATTATATAAAGTCGTTTACCAAAAGATATTTGTTCTTAAAGCCCATAAGTTTCATAAGTTCTTGTTTTAAATTATTATCACGGAATTGGTGAATTATTTACTCTAGAAAAGGTTTAATAGGTTGCTGTTAAGGTTTATAAAAAATATACATATATATAAATTCATTATATTATTAATATGATATAATATACATTATATACAGATATATATATATATATTTATACCCTTGCAGGGTATTATAATTTCAGTCAGAAGTTTGCAACGCAGTGAAGGAGGCACCTCCGACTATATAAAGTATATGTATTCTTGATCAGGATCAACAGCCGAGTCGATCTAGCCATGTCCGTCTGTCCGTCTGTCCTTCTGTCCGTCTGTCCGTTTCTACGCAAACTAGTCTCTCAGTTTTGAAGCTATCTGAACGAAACTTTGTAGTTAGCCTTCTATATACTCTCACTCGTATACATGTCGGAACGGGCCGGATCGGACGACTATATCATATAGCTGCCATAGGAATGATCGGAAAATGTTTAAAAAAAAATTTTTAACTTTTTCAGTTTTCAATAGAATTGGATCAAATTTGAGATATAGCCATTTTTCTATACTCTACAATTTTGCATAAAATTTTATGAAAATCGGACTACTATATCATATAGCTCCCATAGGAACGATCGAGAAATTAATACAATTAAATTTATAACTTTTTCTGTATTCAGCTGATTTTCATCAAATTTGAGGTATAGCCATTTTATATTAGTCTTAAATTTTGTGTCAAATTTCATGAAAATCGGACGACTATATCATATAGGCGCCATACAAACGATCGTTAGATGTAGAGGAAAAATGCAAATCTGCGAATGTAAAACTGCAAATATAATATGTATAGGTGAATGAAATGAAAGCAGGTATTACTTCATTGTTTTTTAACACAAATAAATATAATTTATATTGTTGAGATTCCAAGTCATAGAAGTTATATCTGCCGAAGTTAGCTTCCTTTCTTATATTTTTCATGTATTTATCGAAAATAATTCTATTAAATATCCATATTATATAATATAAATAAATAATGTATTAGATATTTTAATCTTTATAAAGACAACTTTATGTTGGCAAATCAAATTTAAACCTAAATTAAACCATAATATTCGTTTAATCTTTTTTTTAATATATATTCCGATATATATTACCTTTCCTATATTTAAATTACAATTTAAATGGTTATACCATTTCGTTCCAGGGGACTTGGAGCACATTAACAATGCCAAAGAGCTGGATTTTTTTGTGGAGGCGTGGTCTATTTGTCGCCATTCGGATGGATATGAGTTCCAGCGCTTATTGGGCGATTTTTACGACAAGATCGGGCGGCGTAATCGTTTTCTGATGCCAGCCCCGTGAGAGGAAACGGAAACCCACAATAAACAGCCATAAGTTTAAGAAAACCACATCTTATTTTTGAATTTGATGTTATTTTTATTTGAAAAATGTTTTGTTTTTAGTTTTGTATTTGTTATCGCCTTGCTTCTTGCCAAAAACAAATCTATAATCTGTAAAGAAATTACAAAAATTGCAATTTTTGTTATTTTTATTGTGTCATTGGTTGTTTTTTCTCTTATTTTTTTATTTTTTAATTTTTTTGTGTTTGCTTTGCACATTTATTTGTTAAAATTTGACCCATTTTGTTGACCTTTGCTATATTTGCTCATCGATTTGTTGCTCTTGTTTTTCGCTTTCTGACTTTTCTTTTGTAGCAAAACAAAACTTAATTGTAATTTGACTACAACAACATTTTGTTTTTGCCCATTATATAATATTTAATTGTATATATATATAATATGCAATTCTGTAGCTAGTTTTTGACATACACGTTCTCGTACCCAATCTTGAATTACTATATATATATAGTGTGTGTGTGTGTGTGTGTGTGTGGTGTCTATAACATGCGTTCTCCTCTTTCTGGCTTTTTGTTTTATAAACAAATCTCTCTTGTCTTTCTTCCCTTTCCTCGACTGCTCCTCCTCCGTTTATTCCGAAACTAAGTTAACTTAATAATTGCATACTTTTAGGCTAGGCTAGTAAATGGTTTTCCTCCTTTCAAAACGCTTAATGCACTTTTTTGTATTTGTATTCTCATTTTCATCTTATCCTAAAAATGTTTGTTAATCGTCATCAATTAGTTCTCGTCGAGCCTGGTAAACGACAATGAACCATGCCTGGTTGTGTGTGTGTGTCTGTGTGTCGCAGTTGCCACGAATTCCAATTGAAAATGGTTTGCAGTGGTTTCTCCTTACCTTAATGCTAAATCTTTATTTAGAAAATTTTTCAACTCGTAAATTGAGTTTTTTTGTTGTTGCATTTTTTTTTTTTTTGTTTATTAAAAAAACTGTTCCCTCCATTTTTGGTTTTTAATTCCATATATATTTTTTTTCTTTTTTGTTTCCTTTTAATGCTTCTTCTTGTTGTCAATTGTTTCTGTAAATTTTGTTTTTGAGTTTAAACATTTTTGTTGTTGTGCTTTACAATTAATTATTGCTATAATTATTTGCTTTTTTATTGGCGCCCGAGGAGGGACGCCCCCCGGGAAATTAATGAGACTCTGGCATGTGTGTGTGAGTGTGTGTGTGAAACTGAAACCATAGCTAGGAAAAAAGGCCTGCGGATCAAGCACGATCGATTATAAGTAGATCGAATCTCTAGAAAATAATGATTGTAAAGCGATTTCCATATTTACAGCAGCGTGCACTTGCGTGATAAATAGATATACATATTATAGATATAGAGATATGGATGATCTATAATCTGAGCGATAGGATACTTTAATGCGAAATTAAAAAATGAGGCGGCGTTTGTTTTTTTTTTTGTTGCAAATAAGTTCGGGTTTTTATTACACAAAATAGAATACTAAAAATGAAATCGAAACTACTTAAAAGATATGCATGTGTGTGTGTTTGGGGGGTGGTGTGTTTATGTGATAATTACTAGAAAACGTCTTTGTAATCGTAAATTTTTGTTTACATAATTTATGCTAATTAAAATGTACACAGGTAAAAATAATTTCATTGTTTAATAAATGGTTTTTCTTTACAATTAACTGTTTTTGTTTTTTTTCTTTTTGTTGTTTAACTTAAGCCTAGCGAAAATCAATTGTATTTGTTTGTGGTGTGTGTGTTGGTGTTGTGTTGGTGAGTGTAGAAAGCTTTCCCTTTGTTGTTGTTGTTGTTTGTTTACAATCATTGTTTATTATTAATTTGTACACATTTTTCGTTTAAGTATATTTCATAGTTAGAAAATTGGCTATGTGAGTGGTGTTTCTCTTGTTTTCTTCTTTTTTGTGTATTTTGAGAGTGTAAAGTTAAAAGTTTCAACATAGACGAGACAAGACAACAAAATATTTTTAAAATTTTAGACACAAATTAAAAAAAAAAAAAACAAAACACACACTGTTTCCTAACGCTCATCCTAAAATCTAGCTCCTGTTCTTTGCACTTAGTTCTACTACTTCATCTGCGCTTTGCGTCCCAGATATATATATATATATTGTTTTTTATATATGCAAATTTACAGTATACCGTTTTCGTGTTATGTATATGTTTTTGTTTTCTTTGTTGCTTCCATCGATTCTCTTTGTTTTGGGCTGTGTGTTCTTAAGCTTTTGGGGGAAGATGGGGGTTTCATTTTGTATATAATTTAAATTTAAACTAATTCTCTCGCCTTGCACACACAAAAATTTACACAATTTATTTGATTTAATTTATTAACCTTACGCCTCCTCCTCTCCTTTCCTCTCCCAATTTGTTGTAAACTAAACACTATTTAATTACACTTTCTGCTTGTTTTGCTTACGCACGAAATTGGTTGTAAATATGTACAAACTTTTGTTACTTATCGGCTAGCTATATGTTAATTTCTCCAATCTCCACTATTAGATATATATATATATGCCTACGTTGTGTGGTTTGTTTGTTTGTTTTTTGCTTTTCGCTAACCTCTCTTTCATCTTGTTTTTTTGTTTTCGTTTCTTGTAAATTTATAAATATTAAACACTAATCGGATAATATATATATATATGTGTATAAAAAAATAAAATAAACAAACAATTCTCGCACACACTTGACACTTTTTTACAAAATTCTCGACAATTAATAAATATAGTAATGCTGTTTCTAGACTTCCTATCGAGGTGAACGATAATCGATAATCGCCGCTCTCTCTTTCTCTCTGATCGATCTGATTGGTTGTTTAGTTTGTATCATTTTAGTTTTCTTAGTTTCGTGTTGATTATGCTAAGTAATCTGTGCGTTGCGTTCACTGCCTGCTTGCTTGCTTGCTGTTGTTGTTGTTTGTTGTTGGTGTTGGTGTTTTTTGGGTTCTGTTAACTTCGATTCTTGGGTTGTTGTAGACCTTTTACCGGTTTTCTAGAGTTTGCTGTTGTTGCTTTGAGTTTTGATATAATAGAGCTAGTGGAAGTTCTGCTAAAAGGAAGCATGCGACTGCGTTTGATTGATTCAGCTTTTGAGTGGTTGTTTGTTGTTGTGTTGCTATAGTTTTGATCCCAGATGTATAATCCCACAGATCCTTAGGCTATGGCTGCCGTCAGATAGTACAGATCCATCAGAGTCTGCACATTGATGGGCAGACAGGAGAGACGATCGTGCGTATTGGAGTCGAGGGCCAACCATGACAAGGCATTGTAGCCCTCGAGTACGAACCGCAGTACATCCGCTGTGAGAATAGAGTCCAACGGATGATCATTGGCCGACTGATGGGCATTGGTCGAGTTGAGGATATCATCGGCTGTCTGTATACTAGGCACATGCAGGTGAAGCGCCGTCTTGAGGAAAACGGGGCACACATCCTCCAGATGGGGACAAGCGGACCAAAACCAGGCGGGCATACGGCCCGTGGGCGCTGTGGAAACCATGTAGCCCACCGATATTGGTTGCTGGTTGAGTGAACCAACCTAAGGAATCATTAGGTAAGTTACCATATAGAGGGAAAGTTCAAATAATAAGTCATTTACCTCCTCCACTTCCTGGGGCGGAGTACACTTGAAGTTATTCCCACCGGCACTCTGCCAGCTTCTATTATCGTCCATGCGTCCGGGACTGCCATGATTGGAAACCCTGTCTATATGAGCTGCAAGGGGACAGTAAATCTTAGCAACTGCTTTGCATGTAAAGAAATCTATCAAACACTTACTGTCCCAAAAAATGTCGCCAATGTCAGCGTCGCTAAAGTCTTCGTTTCCCTCCTCCTCAAAAGTAAGGAAGTCATCATCTACTTGAGGCTCATTTTGGAACTGGCGGGTGAAGGGCTGTGCATGGAAAAAGTTAATGAAAAGTTATTAAAATCATTGCAGGAAATGTATGATTAAAATGATTTACTTACCGCACAAACAGCGCTGGTGGGAAATACCAGAATGTGGGTACAGGTCACATCCTGTGGGGTCGACAACGGATTCTGCATGGATATCTGCGAGAAGCGCTCATCCGGCGTAAACTGATCGGGCATTACGCGCAGCTTGGCATCCGGCTCCAGGGTCACCAGACACGCACTCAGTATCGTTGGTGGATACATGAGTGTACACTGTTTGCACATGTCCTTGAACTGCTTGGAGGCCTTTTGCAGCTGCTGTTTGCTCAGCAGATAGCTCCACGACTTCAGTTCGCTGTGTCCAATGCGACCAATCCGTCCAATGACCAAACGCCACATTTGCGACGTCTGCGAGATGAGACCCATGATGAAGTCCATCAGCTTCTTCAGTGCCACATAGCGTGCGGGTGCCTTGCGTCGTCTCGCACGATTCGGCACATCGATATTGATGCAGATCTTCTCCAGCAACTCGCCCCTCTCATCCGTGGCGGTGGCCAGCAGCCAGGCCTGGTCCTCGCTCAGACAGTAATTGCAATACATCACCGAGTAGCGATGTTCGTTCTGGCCATGCATGCTGCCTGCCGTTCGCGTAAAGTCTGTCTTGTCGTTCCTTTCATGCATCGGGGCCAGGACAAAGGGTGCGGTGTACATCTTGTAGGCTTTGCGATTCGGTTCGTCCTTGGTCTTCAGGAAGGCCTCCATATTGGCCGCCGTTCCGAAGCCCGTAAGACTCTTCACGGACTGAGCGTGCACCAAGTGCCGCCGGCACTGAGAGAAGATGTTCAAGGCGAGGCACTTAATCTCGTCGGAGAAACGCTTCCTATTGCCACACGGTCCGAGTTCCATCACCGATTCCAGCGATATAATCTGGATGCTCATCTGCGAACGCACCGAGTCGGGAACGGCTTTCAGGAGCTCCGCATAGCAACGGAGCAGGGCAATCAGGGCCAAGCGTTCCAGCTCGCAGCTATCCGAGGCGAAGGTGAACGGATTGACCACATACAGGACAATAGCTGGTGGATTAATATCCTCCAGGGTCTCGCCCACGCCCAAGGGATCGCCGAGAATGAGCGCGGGTTTGGTGTCAGCAGCAGAACCTCCTGCAGCTCCTGCGCCCTTTCCAACTGTTCCAGGCTCTTGCTTGACGTCCTGATTCGTTTCCATCGGCTGAACGGCCGGCGGTGGCTCAGTTCCTGGTTCCAGTTTAATGTTATCCGTAGGCAAATCGCCACCGGTTGTTCCCAAGTTCGACGCAGAGGATGACGACGACGACGAGTTGGAAGAGCTGCTGCCACCATTCTTGGAGTTGCAATTCCCAGTACCATCGGGTGGATTTAGCAGCGTCTTATCATTAGGCACGCGACTCAAATATGGAGCCAGTTGGTGAATAAAGGCAATGGCATAGCGTCGAATTTGCTCCGCCAAAGCGGCATGTTCCAGGGTACGCAACCAATCGTCCAGAGGCGTTGTCTCACGATCTCGAGCGACGCTAGCAGCAGCAGCACCCACCTGCAGGATGCCATCCCAGCCACGAATGGGCGTGTGCCGTCCCAGCTTGCACATCTCGTAGGTGCTGCTAAGCTCACGGAAATAGCTGCGGGTGCAACCCACTACGTGCTCATTGTCCGGACAGATTACCACGTAGACAACATCTCGGGCATAGGAGTAAGGCTCCAGGAGAAACTTATCCCAATAGTGGATGGAGTGTGGCGCCACCGATATCCAATCCTTCTCGTAACCCACCACCACGGAGGGTATGGGCTGCGGCTCGCACTGGCCAGACGCCCGTCCGGCCAAGCGATGGAACTGTCGCCAGGTGAGCGGTCCACTGACCGTGTTATAGGAGCTGGCATCCTTGGAGCCGGAACCGCCGCGCGATTTGCAATGGAAGGCACTCTGCAGCATCGGTTGAATGGCGTTCATCGTGCGCACAATTTCCTTGTTGCTTCGCGTGAATCCCACGGGAAGATATGGCCATTTGTGGACAGTCAGCCGCCCGGCACCGATCCCCGCCAGCTTGTGTCGCAGCGCCAGTGGCGGCGCATGGAAGGCCGTGAGCTGCTGCTGTTGATTCTGTGAGCTGCTGCTTCCGCCGTTCCATTCCATGCTGTCCATGCGCTGGTTCTCAAACGCCAAGCGGGCTTGTTCTAGTGCTAAGCTGATCACGTCATGCGCATCCATAAATTCGAGGACATTGGCAATTGAAGCTAAGGAGGCGGTGGGTGCTCCATTCGTGCCGAAAATCCTCCTCTGCCGCGACATTCTCCGACGGTGAGCCTGGAGGGCTCGGTGCACGGAACTGCTGGAGGTCTGGATGATGGAGCACTGATCCAGCAGCAGGTCAAAGATGGCATGCGTCAGATGTTCCAACTGTGCTGCTCCTACTCCCGCTGCTCCGATCTTCTCCAAAGCCGAACTAGTTTCTCCCGGCGCCTGTATGCTCTGCTGATTCTTTCTGCTCAAACTCTGTATGATGCTGAGCAGCGTTGGCTGCTTATTCCTGGCAGGATCTTCGGCCAAGCCCGTGATTTCCACTTCGTCCTCGTAGAAGAGACCGGCGCGATGAGAGAGCCGTCGATTGACCACCGCACTAAAGCCGCATGTACACTCGACGGGATCGTCGTCGACATAGCCGGTGATGTGCGGATTACTGCTGGGCGGCGTGCACGACGATGACGAGTTGGAACCACCGCCGTTCGGGCCGTGACCGCCATGTCCGGAGCCAGCTCCAGGCATCGAGGCGGCGGAGGCTGGTGAGCCTCCAAAGGCACTGATCATCCGCAGACCGCCAAAGGCAGCAGCTCCAGAGTTGGGTCCATTTAGCATACGTTGTCCCCCGGCAGCCATCCCTCCTCCGTTTACGCCACCTGCTCCTCCTACCGCACCGGCTGCTGCTCCAGGAAACGGATTAAAGCTGACGCCGGGCAACGGAACATAAACACCAGAATCCGCTCCACGTATATTGCCAATCTTCTGCGTATCCGCATTGCACACACACACGCTGCTGCTGTCAAAGTTGTGATCCCGGAAAACATTCAAGGCGGTGTCGTACAGCAGTATATTGACCAGCACCGAGTTCACCTCGGGCAGCTCCTGGAGCAGGCTCGCTCCTGGGGCAGACACCGCCGCCAAGCCACCACTACTGGCAATGCCCGCATCGCCAGAGTACGGCATCATCATGCCCATTTGGCTGCCAGTTCCCGATGCCGGTCCCATGCCGACCATTACTCCTCCTCCGCCGCCGCCTCCTCCCATCATTCCACCGTGCATGCCGTGCGGATGTTCCTGCGAATGCAGTGGGCGGTTCAAGTACGAGGATGTGGAGTTTGCGGGACTGCCAACGTCATACGGATACGGTGGCGGAGGATGCGTTGGCGTTCGCAGGAGGGCCGGGCTCCTGGAGAAGGGCCCGTGTCCCGGTGATATCGGCGACATTCCCGCACGCATCATTTGCTGCATCGAGCTACCCGGCGGCGCCTGCGGACAACTCAATTGATTCAGCAGCAACTGGTTGCCGCCACTGCTCAAGGGTTGCGGCACAGTTGTAGACGGAGTTAGCGGTGTCCTTGGCCCCGCCGACAGCAGATCGTGCAGATGCTGATGCTGATGCTTCTGATGGCCTCCACCAGACGCCGCCGCCGCTGCCGCTGTTGCAGCTGCCGCCGCTGCTGCTGCCGCTGCCTGCTGCTGCTGCTGTTGGAGATGCTGATGCTGGAGCTGCTGCAACTTTTGCTGATGCAATTGAATGCGCTGCTGCAACGCCTGATGCTTCTGATGCTGCTGCTGTTGGGCCGCTGCTGCCTTGGCCAGGGTGGCCGCTCTGGACTTGTGGCTGCTCCAAGTGGGCTGATAAAAGCATCCCGGGGGCAGGTTCAACGGCGGTAGCGTCTGGCTGGGCAAATTGGTCAGTGGAGCATAACGCGTGGAGCCCACAAATTTCTCCTGCTGCGGCGGTCGATAGACATAGTTCCAATCATCGATGGCCTCCTCCACGGGACTGCCCAGCTCCAGGTTATATTCCTGCTGCTGCTGCTTCACCAGCTTGGAAATGCTTGTCTGCTGAATGGCGGCCATCACTGTGATGGGAGCAGCCTGAACGGCGGCCAGGATAATACTGCTGTTGGTGGTGGTGTTGTTGCTGTTGTTATTGTTGCACGTGGCGGTACTGGTGCTGTTGATACTACTCGCCATGGTGGTGTTGCAGGTGGCGGCGATGTTATTTGTCATACTGGTCGTGGTGGTGGTGATGTCCACACTGAGATCCGTCATTACCACATCCGTTTGACAGGGACTGGAGTTCGGGTGCTGCTGTTCGTGCGACGGCGGCGTGGGAAACATTTTGGTGAGATCCTCCGCTTGAATGTTGCCGGCTCCTCCCGTGACCGTTACTGCCGCCGCTGCTGCTTCTGCTGCTGCAGCTGCTGCTGCTGCTGCCGCTGCCACAACACTGTTCACCGCCGTGCTCCGTTTGAGCTCATCGATTGTGTTGGTCACCGCACTGCAGCCGCCATTCGAGGGATTATTGGAATCGGGCGGCGTGTGTATCTGTACACTGCTGCACTCATCGTTGGAGCTCGTCTCGAATAGCTGTTCCAGGTCGTTGAGCGATGGATTTAGACCTTCGGCCGTGAATAGATTTCCACCGCCGCTTCCACCGCCACTGCTGTTGCCGCCTGATGACTTCGAGGTCTCCTTGCATGATGGCGAATGCAGTCCCGGCTCCGTTTTGATATCCAATCCCTGGAAGAAGCTACTGCTGCCACCGCCACCGCTTTCGGTTTCCGTCGCATCGTTGCCATTGGCTGCACTGCTGCTGTTGTTGTTGTTGTTGGCGATTCCAACCAAGCCGCCGCTGGAGCTTCCGGCCGATGCAGCTGATGCCGCGGCTTGAACCTCCAATGAGAGCAACTGGTTGCCATAGACAGATCCAGGCGATGGCATCAGTGGCTTTACATGCGTATGTCCCTCGTAGAGGTTCTTGGAATAACGCGGCCTTCGCTGCTTGGAGACCTCGTCCAGCTTCGGACGCTTCACTGGAAGGTTATCCCTGTGAAGATAAAAAAGCAAAGATTAGCGAACGGTTTAGCATTGGTTAAAAAAGTTTACGGACTGAATTTCTATTGAATTGCCTTTGGCTGACTCACCAGTTCTCCTGGTATTGAAAATCGTAGACGACCTCCTTGAGCCACTCTTCGTCGTAGAAGCTATCCGGATCCTTGAGCGTCAGCTTTGGCGGATTGTACAGGCTTCGCAGATTGTTCATGGCCTCCATGGTAAAGTTAACCGTACTGGCTGGCAACCTTCCTAGGCTCCCGATCCCTGGCTCCTGCTTAATAGCCATCGTGGCAGACGGCATCTGCTGCTGTTGTTGCTGCATCTCCAGCTTCTTGACACTTATGGTGCCTACTGTGCTGGCTCCGCCGCTTGTAGTTGCAGCTCCTCCTCCGCCAACGGCAGACGTTGCCGTTGCTGTTGGCGTGGGCGGCTGCTGGGCAGGCACACTGCCCGGACCAGTTCCGCCGAGAGATGGCCCATTGCCTCCGCTTGCTCCGCCGGCTGAACCAGCATGATCTGTGTAGGAGGGCGGCTCCACGCTGGGTGTCTGATGGACATAGGGCGAGGCCGTGATGCTCTTGTTATCGTGCTGGTCCGTTGGCGTCGGCGCCGGCGTATTCTTGTCCAGCAGGTGGTCGATGGGGGTCGGCGGCTGCTGCAGATTCGAAACGGAAGTGGGCGCATGTGGACTCATGTTGAGCAGCTGTCGGGCAGGGAGAATAAATCGGTGGTTAGTGGAATAAGCGGACTGGATGCTGCGTCATTTGTTTTTGGGTCGTCACTTGCACTCACTTGCTCTGCGGGTGGCACCGACGTCGGTTGCGAGTGCGCCGAATTCGGATGCGGAGAGGGAGCCGGCGTGGCGGGCGATTCCACAGAGGCCACCGGCATCGAGGAGTCGCCGCCCAGTGAGTTCCGAGAGTACGTCGATGCACCGCCGTGTGGCGTTCCATGTGGCGTATTCCCGAGATGTCTGTGTTTGAGCAGAAAAAGAGAAAAAGTTTGCAATTAGTATTTTCGATGGAATATAAATTTTATCAAATATATTATATTTATTAAGAGAGGTTATGTACAATGCTCGAAACTACGGAAATTAATGTTGCTATGAATACACAGGTGAGCTTTTTGTGTATTAATCATTTAAAATAATAATAATAATAATAAAATATAATGGAATATATATTGTTGAAGGACAGCTCCAGAAGCGGAGTGTCCCAAAAGTGTAACCATAAGCAAAAATAAACAATAACCACATCCATTGTTTTTAAGATTTAGATAAATTAAACGGAACCTTTTTACAGCTGAAATATAATCGTTATTATGCAGAGATGTTTATAAATCACTAGAGTTTGGGTTTCTTGAAAGAAGGCTAATATTATAATTTAATACATTTCACAAAGTTAAGTCTTAACTTTATCTGGGTTCTTAAAAAGGTTGCAGAAAATCTTGATACATCGATACTGTATCGATATTTCTAAACAAAGTCGATATCTTAATTTTGAAATACAAATGCGATAAATCGATTTGTGAAAAATCGAACTGTGAAAAATAGTCTTACTTTTAACTATAATTGTTGAAAATAAATTGAGTAACAAAAATTAAGTTTTAAAAACATTTTGAATACGACCAGAAAAATAGGGCAAATGAAACATTTGTGTGCTAAATCTCTATGTTTATCGATATTTTAGATATATTTTCGATACTGCATTAGGACGATATATTTTTCAATATATCTTATAGAACTTGTAGCCGAGAGTCTACCGAATATACATAGCCTTATAATGAAAATAAATTGTATCAAAAGAGGATCAACTGAAAACATTAAAAAGGTAATGAAAAAATGACAATTGTCATCGGTGACCTCTGGCAAATGTAACATTATTGCTTGCTTTAAGAAACCCAAATTATGATTATCAACTCTATCGTTTTTTTTTTAAACACCTTCCCTCTGTTTCCATAATAATAATATACAACATTAGATATGCAATTGTTATTTACAAACTAAATAAACCAGCGAATAAAAATCAAAATCATTCCACAAAATGCATAAAAAACCTTGAAGGAGAGAGAAAACAAAATAACAAAATAAGAGGAGATGCATCATGCGCGGCGCCAAAACCAAAATAATACGCAAACCGAGCGAACATCGCACCAAATCGAGTGTACTTGCAACACGGGCCATGAGTAAATGAGAACGGCAATGGAGGCGGGTTTGGAGGAGGGGCAGTTTAGAGATACTAAGCTAGTTAAATGCTACGAAACGTGTTGGATATGTCCTCCTCCGATCGGAGCTATTGTACAATTGGTTATTATTATTATATCATTGTTGCTGCTGGCAATTGTGTGTGTGTTTTTTAGCGTTGCTCTTCTGTCTTATTTTTGTAATGTTGCTAATGTACCATTTACCAAATAAACGATTAAGTGAATTAGACTTAAGAGTTGGTTATTTTGCAAAATGACGACGCGCGAATGTTTCTTTTTCAATTATTTGTTTCCTTTTTTTATATATTGTGTGTGTTGTGGTGTGTGTGTGCTGACTCCTCTTTTTATTGGGGGCGAGGGGCTTGGTGAATTAAGATGAGCCCCTTTTTTATAAAAAAAAATTAATTTATGATTTCAGTGTATTTGTTAGACGGGATAAGGCGCCCATAATTAAATGCTCAAAACCAAATAACAAAATAATAAAACATAAGAAATCATAGGGTTAACAGAGCGTGTGTGAAGAGAGTGGATAGAACAGGAATATATATTTATATATATACATATATGTATATATGTTTATATGGAGAAAGAGCAAAAGTAGGAGAAAAGGGTGGCGTGCATACAGTTGCGGTGGAAATATAAGTTTACTTTCTTTCATCAGGCAATTGATAATCTCTTTAATATAAACCTTATCCTTTATAAAATATTTTGAATTAATTTTTTCCTTTTAAGAAATTCGAATTTTTAATACAGTTCTAAAAGGATTACAAATAATATAGAATATATAGATATTTCGTTTTTTAAGTTTCTTTAAAATTAAAATGATCTTTAAGGACAACATACTGCTTGAAGTTTTATACTAATATTTAAATACTTTAGAAGTATAAATTCAGTCAAGTATAATATATACCTTAGCGTTATATATTACAGATTAAAAGCCAATGTATTATTATTTGCAACTCTAATCATTTCCAACGCAACTGTGTGCAAATAGAGAAAAAAAATCAAAAAGTAATTAACTAAAGAGCGTATCAACTTAGAAAAAGATATAGGCAGCACTGGCTATAATGAACACACGCCAACCAATATTATTATTTGCACTTCACACTCGCAACACTCAACACACAAACCTTTGTTTTGGTATATTGGTGTCTGTTGTTGTTGTTGTTGATGTTGTGGTGTTGTTATTGTTGTTGTTGCTGTGATTTTTGGGTCTAAAGGTGGCCATAGAGGCGGTGGACGCCAGCGAATGGAGCAATCGCTTGTGGAACGGCACATTGTGACGCCGATGGAGGAGAGCTGCAGCCGCGGAAGAATTCAAGGCAGAGGAAGTAGTGATGATGTTGCTCAGGGAACTGGAATGATGCGATGTTGCCGGCACAGGTGTTCCCGGTCGTTGTTGCTGTTGCTGTTGCTGCTGATGCAGATGTTGCTGGTGGTAATGTTGCTGGTACGTGGAGGATGACGACGATGATGATGATGACGACGACGACGAGGACTTATTGCCACTAATGCCGCCACCGGTGACTGCTGCACGCAATGCTGGCGATCCCAGCGGTTGCTGCAGTCGCTTGTTGCTGCTGCCACAGATGTTGCTGCTGATGCTACTGTTGCTGTTGCTGCTGCTGCTGCATTGGGCGCTGAAATTTGTTTGTTTGGGTATTTTTCTTGGTCTTTTTTAAGAAACACTAAGCAACACTTTTTAACGTTTCAACGCTTTCGTAGCTCTCTCTGACTGCTGTTTCTTTTATCGCTGCTGCTGTGTGGTTTTTTTAAGTAACTCAAAGAAAAACTATATATAGATATATGAAGACAACGAAAAAAAAACAAACAAAAAAAATACGGGAAACGGGAAAATCTATGGCCTATTTTCATGCACAGATAAAACTGCCTACTTTTTGCTTTGCTAAAATAAGTAAAGGTATTTTTTAGGCATGCCATCAAAGCGGGTTTTAAGATTGCTTTTAAGGGCTCTCTTTTCAAAGGGAGCACAACTTGTCCCCTACATCAATAATAATTATTATAATATCAAATATCAAATATGTATCGTATATATAGAGATAATATATCAAAAATACACTAAATAGAGGCAGCCAAATGGGAGTTTCTTTGGGTCACAAAAAAAACGTAGAAAAAGGCTTCCAAAGCCATACTTTAGTAGTTATACTTTCATGTAAACAACTAAAGTATGCTTTTTGGAGTTCAAAGGTAACGCCTTGTTCAGAGATAGAAAAAAACGAGTAAATCCTCTACAGTTTCTTGGGGATTTGGGAAAGTTCTTAACCAAGGCAAACTTACTTGGTGCATATGCAGGGCGCCTTTTGCATGGGATCCACAAAGTTCCAGAGCTTCTGACGTTGCTGTTGTTGCTGCTGCTGTTGCTGTTGTTGCTGCTGCTGCTGAATCTGCTGTTGCACTAGCTGCTTGGAATCCTGCTGCGGCGGTTTATTCTGCTCATCCTCATCGTTAACTGCAGCCGTCCCTGTTCCACTTCCGGCGGAAGGTATTGAGGATGCGGCTGCCACTGCCGCCGCTGCCGCTGCATCCACGTGAAGCGTGTTCATCACGCAATCCTGCCAGGCACGCTCTGGCATCTCCACGGCAGCCGAGGCGGGGATATGAGTATTGTTGGTGTTGAAGGTGAAGCCCGAGGTGGGCCGTTGATCGTAGTAGGGCTGGAAGGCGAGGCGCTCCAGGGCGCTGACCGCTTGTGGAGCTGCCTTACGAGATACATCCTTGGCCGAGGCGGGATGAGCAACTCCTCCCGGGGCGCTGAGAGAAGCGGGGCCCATGGGCACAGCTGTTGGGACACTTAGGGAAGGCGGAGCGGCAACAGCTGCTGCGCCCGGTGGGCAGGATTGTGAGGCCAGAACGGCGGCCTCAGCCGCTCCTCCATTGCCCACGGAGCTTTGCATCTTCTGCATCTCAGCGAACTCCATGTGCTCCATGTCGTCCAGATCTGTGACTAGTACGTAGTTCGTGGGATGATACATCTTATGACCACCTGAAGTGCAGAAACAAAGGGTTAAACTCGTTAAAAAATCTCACAAAGATCTTTTCCTGCTCATATTTTGATCTCTGAAGTTGTTGGAGTCTTTGTACTTACCCGACACTACCTCCACAACGGGTGGCACGTCCGTGTTGTCCTTATTGCACAGCGGGAAAAATGAGGCCCAATCCTCCAGGATCTTCTCGGCCATGGGATCGTTGGCCTTGTAGCTATTGCCGGTGAGTATCGCCGCGATGCCAAATGGGGCCAGCATCACCTTGCGCGCATGCGCTGGCGTCGCGGCCTTGGCAGCTCCACCCTCGCCGCCTTCCAGTGGCTCCGTGCCATTGCCATTCGGCTCCTGACCCGGACTAGGCACTGCTCCTACACCACCAGCCGCTGCCGCCGAAGTTGCCGCAGATCCTGGCGGTGAACTGGCCGCTGCAAAGGCGGCAGCCGCCTCAGCCAAGTGCTCCTTGGTCAATGGACGCACGGCGGGATGCTCGCGCAGATCTATCGAGGCGCAAACAGTGTCACCGTGCACAAAGAACGTGAAGGAGAAGGACAAATGCTGGGAGCTATAAAAGAAATAAAAATAGGGATAATTAGTAGGAAGCATCTTAAGATATGAGAATTTATATCGGAAGAATGTCCGAATTTATTTAATGAAAGGAGGATTATATCGATTAATATAAAACGCCGATAATAAATCGATGTTTTAAAGTTGCAATAAATGTGCGCTAAAGCAATGCAAATATAATCGTTATAAAAAATGAATTTTCTGTTCTATATTTTCTTTGGTATTTACAATTTCAATATATTAAGGAGCATTTTATTTGAGATAAACATATCGAAGATATACACATAAAGATAATTAAGAAAAATTAGATGGAATCGAAAGTCTGTCAGTTCAACTTATATTCATTCACTTTCTTCTTGCTATAACTTTTGATAAAAGCTAAAATTATCGAAAACCCATAAAAATATTTATGATTCTATTATGGCCTAAAGAGAATGTTTTGATAAAAACGTTTCCTAATCAATTTCATAATTTAAAAACAAAACTTCACAAGTTTGCTTGATTCTCTCTTATGGTTTTTAAGGCAAAAAGTACTTTATAAGAAAATAGAAAGTGTCGCAGGAAGAACGATGCAATGCCACAGGCTTCAATGTCATTGCACAGAGTTCCTGGTCTTTATTCTAGGATATTTGTGATCGCTATGCAAATCGGAGTACATTCTCAGCATTATTGCATTTTCAGGGACCAATATCCACAAAGAGGAAAAAGTGTATTTCAACAACGTAATTCTCACCTGCGTCCAAAAAGACGATCGCTGGAGGTGCAAGGCTGCACAAACCATTTTCCAAAGCGCACAATATCCTTGGTGAGGACGAACCTGAGTAATTATATAAGGTATTTATTATTATTGTGTACAATTCGGAATATATTGTTTAATATTACCTCTCCATAAGATTGTGTAGCGCCTTGAAGAGCAGCGATCGGCACTCATAGGTGAGAGCTCCTTTCCAGGTGCCATTCCAAAGCGATTGGTTAGCTAAAATAGAAATAAAAATTATAATTAATAAACTTGTTTTATAAATAAAGACTTAAAAAAGACTCTAAAGTTGGTATGATGATCCTTTTTTTTATCATTTTTACTTGGAAAGACCCTAAACACACTTATTGCCTAGATTCCTTACGATTCCGAAGTATTTCTCGAATAAATATTGAATCGAATTTAGGTATTCTATGTAAATATTTTTATTATCAAAATACAAAAAGGAAAAACAAAACAATAACAATGTTTTTGTCACGATCCAAAAGAGCATTTTGGAAATCTTAAAAAAATGTATTAAGAGTGGAAAGTGGAAAATAACCAAACAAAAACAAATGGCAACAACACGAAAACGGGATCGAAAACATCAGGGAGAAACCACGAAGAAAAAGAGACGTCTACAACGCAAAACAATCATCCTCCCACTCTCTCTGTCTCGTTCCCCTCCCTCCAATTTCTGCTTTCCCATCTTCTCCCCTATTTTCCCTCTCGTATCCACCAACGACATGCACACGCCTACAACCAAAAATCAACCGTTTTGAGGCAATTTATTTTTGTTATTGTTTTGTTTTTATGCGCTTTTGACTTTTTTAATGACAAACTTTGAGCGAGAAAGGAGAATTATGATTGGAAGAAGCACTAAAGAAAAAGATACATACATCTGTAAGTGTGTAGAGCGGAATATGTAAATGCATTTAAAGACCAAGAAACGTGAGAAGAAAACGAAAACCGGGAAAATGAAGCAGACGAAGGAAAAGGAGAATCCCAAAAGCGGAAGTGCAAACACTTGAAACAAAAACACCACAAAGACAACAACAAGAACAATGGGGCAGCGAGTGAGAGATTGAGAGGCATATCTGAGAGCGCAGAGATTTGTGAAAGAAAAAAGAAAAGGACAGTCTAGAAATTTTTGGAAAATTCCAAGCATCCACCGAACACACACGCTTGCCCACAAATATATACACACACCTCTCCATCAGCCCATCTCTTTCCCTTTCTCCCAAAATTCTCACGCATTTACAACACGGACTGCACTGCTTTCATTTCCCTTTGCACTGCTTCTCCGTTGTTTTTTTACGCTCAGCAGCAGCAAAGCAAAGCAAATGTTGCAAATATAATTACGTAAAGGTAAACAACTTGATAAATGGACAAGGCAAAGAAAAAACAAAGAGAAAGACAATGCAATGCAATGCTTGTAATTGTTGTTTTTTTACTGGTCACTGCTTTGTATGTTTTCTTTATTTTTTTTTTTCAATGAGATCAGCGTACCGTATATTTGTTTTATTTTTTTGTTGTTGTACAAAGACGCTTAAAACTCACGCACACTCGAACCAAAGGGCAATGTACGATTATGCTAGTGTGAGTGTGCGTGAGAGAGTCGGCCTCTCTTCTTTCTCTTCTCTCTCCACTATTATCTTTCCCTCCATCTCATTTCCATCTCATCTCATTTCACATCCTGTAAGCCGGCTCTTTGCCGTTTTCTCTTCACCGCTGAGGTCACACACTCACATACACATCTAAAGTTCAAAGCTCGCGAAAAAAGCCCGCAAGGGTAGGCCACCAAAAGCAAACACAAAAACAAAGCCAACAACACCAAACATCGGGAAATAAAAAATAAAACAAATGCAGCTTCGCCGCTCGCTCTCTTTGCAAGCAGAAAGACAACAAAAGCGCCAAGCCGAAAGGAAACAAAACGGGACGGGACGACAAACAAAAAATGTAGAGGGATACTTGACTTGAAAGCCAAACCAAACACACATATCCTGCCATTCGATGCGGCTCCCAGACTTCTAAATTGCCTTTATAAAATGCATATTCTTTCAATATTTTCATTAACATTTTAATCGAAAACCCATTTTCCCATAACTGTTTTGAATGTTTCGATTTTGTTTTCTATGGAATTATGTCGATGTCCTTGATGTCGGGTTCCATCTAAAATTTGTACAAACATTTCTTGACATTATCCAAATTCTCGATTCTCGATTTCACCGCCACAGCTGCTGCCATCCGTCTTTTCCTCCTTCCCTTTGCGTACCACAATCGTAGCTTCAAAGCTTCGGAACAGGAATCGGAATCGGAATCCAAAAGAAGGGCATAAGGGAATCGGAATCGACGGCGGCGGCTGCTCAATGCAAATTCCACAAACACACACGCACGCAAACTGTCTGTGTGGGTGTATTTTTTTAGCACGTGTGGTTTGTGCACATGTTGCTGCTGCTGAGAGCGAACACCTCTCTCTCTCTCTCTAGGTTTCATGAAACCAGCGAGTGTTTAAGAGATGGAGAGTGGTTGTTTGGGAGAAAAAAAAGTGCCGCTAGGCGTGCACTCGCTCACGGCGCTGTCTCTCTCTCTCTCTCTATAAAAAAAATAATGCTATTTTAGGTTAACATTTTGCTAACAAAGCAGATCTCCCGCTCGCTCTACCCGCACTCTTTGAGTGTGTGAGAATTTCACAACAACTGTAACGGTAACTGTAACGTATAATTAAGAGAGCCAAATGCCACAATTTTTGCATTTGCGTGCCACAAATAATAAAAAATCGTTGCCTAGCTAGCAAGCATGCAAGCCCAGCCAGCCCGTCAGTCAGCAACAAATGTTTTAATCAAGGTCAATAATCTTGCTCGCACACACACACACACACACACTGCAAATTGTTTAGTAAGCGCAAAAACAAAGCCCAAACCAAAAGCAGGTAAAAAACACGAATGCAAAAGGCAACAAAAACAACAGAATGAGCAAGAAAGCGCATTGTAATTAAGCTTAAGCTTGCAAACCAGTTCCAAGCTCATTCAGAGACCGAGAGAGCTGATGCAGAAGAGCGCCAAAATCCACCAAGAGAACAAAAGAGAGTTAGAGAGAGAGAGAGAGCAGCAGCACGTAATTATTGGCTCCAATTCTGGAGCACACAAACACCAACACGCAGAGGCACACTCACACGCAGACGAGTGACAGCTGTTTAAGGTAAAAATCGTATGGCATCGCAAATACAACAACAAACATTAGGTACAATGACAACAAGTAGCGTGTGGGGCGAAGTAGTGATGGGAGGAGGGGTGTTAAGGGGGCAATTCCAGAATATATCGCACTACTAACTATTCTCGCTGGTGTTTCTCCGTCGGCGTAGGCGTGTCGCCCTGTCTTTTGTCGATGACGTCGGCGCCCCTCCGAAAAATTGGCCCAAAAATATTTACATCAAAGAAGACTTTACATGTTCCCCCAATCGACGTTTAACATTTCAGAAAACGTGCAAGTTTAATTAAATCACTCTTTATTTTCAACCATAAAATACCTGGCAGTAGTTCACAAAAAGTATTGCCTATTTAGTAGCGTATACGAAGGGGAATTAATCAAAAAAGAAAACTTATCTGTATCCATAATCTGGCAATGAGTTTTAATAAACTAATAAGAAGGAAAATGTAGTTCAATAAGTTAAATTACGAAAATCCAGGCCTTGAACGCAAGTCGTCGTAAAGTTTTTTCTCTAAACTCCGATAGATTTAAGAATAAGCCCAATATTCAAGACCCCACTTTTAAAATATTAAGAAAACAATAAAATAAAATAATATATAATTATTTGTACACCATTACCTAGTTTCTATTCCACTGTTCAGGCTGACTGAGATTTGCGGCGTTGCCGTTTTCACCAGCAGAAAATCAGAAAATGCGAGAAACACAGCGACAGCAGCCCACAGTAACAAAAACAAGCAAAAACAATTCACTCTCTTCGTCTCTCACTCTCTTGTCACACACCGCTCTCTTTTTTCGTTCTGAATTTCATTCACATGCACGCACACACGATGAGAGACAGTTTTTTGTGTTTGTTTTTTTTTTGCGCGAGTTTGTTGTTTATGGCCAAAAAGGCTATAAAAAGAAACGAACATTCGCACAAACGGGAGACAAAGTAATGTCAATGCAATTAGTCAATGTCCTTGTCATTAAAAAACAAAAACAAGGCTGTGTGCATGCGGGACAGAGACAGAAATATATGATAAAAAAATAAAATAAAAACGAAACAAAATCGAGCTACGTGCATTCAACTCTCAACTCCAAACGGCACAAAAGTGCGCGCCTAAAAAAAAAAAAAACAGAAAAAAACGTTAATGCAAACAGCCAGCAAATGCTAACTGTAAAGTCACCGGCCACAGGCCACAATGACGTAGGCAGATAACGAAAGATACAGATACAAATACAAATGCAAATACAGGCGGACTTCCGTATCGCGTATCTCACAGAGCCCTTCAAAATACACGTAAATTGCAAACAGCATCTTAACACACATGAAATAAATTGGAATATTTGGATTCTTTTTTAAAAGATACTTTTAAAGAATGCAAACGAAGGAATTACTGTTAAAAGGCTTATCTAGAAGATATTTATTGACTTGACCAATTCCTAAATCTCGTCAAAGACATTACGCCGTTACGCTACGTTGCTAGTTTAGCTTATTTCAGGCTAGATCTAGCATGTATAAATATTTAAAAGCTTATTAAATTAGCGTCTAGCTTATAGCCTGAAATACTTTAAATTGTATAATTAGGAGATTACCAATACGACTGAATTACTAAAAATATCGGCAATGTATTCCATACTAAACCAATTTTTTTAAGAAAAGTTTTATATCTGAAAACCAATTTTTTTGGCTTGTTTTCCAGCATATACAGCTTTTTGTAAACTTATTTTTGAAATCATTTTGTAAGCTTACTTTTTTCTAGCTAATTTAAGTGCTTCCAAACCTGGCAACACTGGGTAATATATTGTTTGGGCATTAGGCGGTAGCCAGTGGAATTTGCCACCGAAATTTGAATTCAATTTCGAATTCTACAATGTACGTAGTTGGTGGTCAGAGATAATGGGGCAATAACAAAAATATTGAATAAATAGTGGCCACAAGCAGTGGCTGATAAGGAGAAAGAGAAGGAGTGACTGCCGCTGGCAGCGGCAATGGAAGCGGGCCGCAGGCGGTGGAAAGAGAGAGCTGCTGCTGCTGCTGCCTGCTGCCTGCTGCTACCGAAGGCCAGGCGTCGTGTGTATCGAACAACCCTCGGAAGAGCAAGAGAGATGGCAAGCACCCTTCTTCTCCGTTTGCATAATTACATAGGCAGAGAAAGAGAGAACAAGAACGCGAGAGAGCATGAGAGCGAGCGAGCAAGTGAGGGAGAGAACGAAAAACATTGCAAATGACAGGTGACGTTTTTTGCGCTGCTTCCTTCTCACTATTTTTGAGCGAGTGGGAGTGAGAGAGGAGTGGGAGGAAGGCCGCCTACGATTGACGTTTTTGCTGTTTTTCTTCTTTGCTTATTTGCCCCTGTTTTTTTTCTTATAATTTTTGTTGTGTGTTTTCTGTTGCTGACAGATCAAAACGACGCCATGTGAGTTGAGTGACGCCAAGGCAAATTCAGAGAGGGAGAGAGAGTAAGAGAGATGAGAATGCAGAACGAGAGCAATAATAATAATAATCATCAGCGGCTATCGAAATATATTTCGCGTGTTTCTCTGTTTGTTTGTTTGTTTGTTTGTGTGTCACCGTTGTTTTGACTTTTCTCACACATCAACACAAGCACACATACACACACACTCTCAAAGAGACGCGCGCGAATACACCTACACAAATGCGTCAAAGAGATGGCGAAAATGTTGTTGCTGTTTTGGTTTTTGTTGCATTGCATGCGATGGATGCGGCCTTGAAGCTTTATTAAATTCATCACCGTAAGTGTCTGTGTGTACGTGGTTGTTATATGTGTGTGTGTGCGTTAGAGGGAATGAGAGGGAGATAGGTTATTACAATCGATCTTTAATATTGTATTTTAATATATCATTTAAAAGAAAATTATTAATTAGATCGATTGTTCTCCTAGTTTCTTATGCTCTTATTTTATTTTAAAACAAGAAAGGAAAATAACTTCTGGTAGCCCAAGTTTTGCAGGTTCCAATTAAATTAAAGGATCAAATCGGAAATATATTCGCATTATTTGAATCGATAATTATCGATATTTGAAGATGAGAAATTTTTCGAAAAATCAAAGTTCAAAATACTCATACCCAAGCCAAACTTTTAAAAGTTTTCCTATGTTAGTTTTTATTATGATAAGACATTTGCATACTCAATTAATTAATTAATTTTCATATATTTGTATACATTTTTAACAATTTTAACCATGTAACTCAATAAATGTTAAAAAAATATTGACCATTTTTCCCCCCTGAAAAGATTATAAAGACGGGTGGTAATGCTGATCATGAATATATATGATTTATAGGGTAGGAAATTAATTCTTTACAGCGTTACAATCTTCTGACTAATATAATAATACCCTGCTAGGGTATAGGTATTAATTAAATCGATTCTTCTCATAGTTATTTATAATCTAGTTTTACTTTTAATAGCCTATAGATAATGCAAGAAATTATTTAACATTAAGTGTTGTAGGTCTGTCTTCCATATATTGTAGAACCGATTTTAAAAGGGATCAAAGATAATAAAGATGAACTTCTAGAATCTGATATTTGAAAATGCATTTTTGGTAAACAAAGCTAAATCCTGTATTGTTTATAAACCCAAATTCTATTTATTCTAATCTAATCTTATAAGAGGAAACTACAGGAAAACAAGCTATTGGACATTAACATTAAAAAATCAAAATGTAATAATGATTGATATAAAAACCCTTAAGATATTTTGTGATTCTGATTATTTTAAATAAAATTAGTTGATACCCATAAAAAAAAAAATATTAAGATCATTGCATTTAAGGATAGTTTCATGGAGATTATCTTATAGTTGTGCGTAGAAAACACTTACCCGCAACACGTAGCAGTTCGGCATCGACGAGCTCACTGAGATCGGGCTCCTCGCCGTACCAGAAGATCCATAGCTCCTTGGAGGCGGCCAGGGAAAGGGGCGGGTGGACCTTGGTCGAGGTGGTGATCTCGAAGGTTAAGGCATTCTGGTCGGCGTTGTCCGTCTTGATGGACTGCACCCGCCGCCACACGCAGAGCATGTCCGCCTGGATGCATCGCGAGTAGGAGCGCAGGATCGGGTCCGCCAATGGGTCACTAGACGCGTTTGGTCGCTCCCCGTTAACGAACTTTCGCCACTTTATTCCACATAAATCAGTCTGCAATGAAAAGACGTAAGTTAATCACTTGATACGTAATTGAAAGCCAGGCAAATTGTTGTATACATAATGCCAAATAGGTTTGGTAATATTCCCCCCACTGATAACCAGCGCCACCGACGTCTTTATCTATAGAATAGTGTTGTCCTATCATTTGTTTACCCCGCCATGACGAAAACTGTAATGTCAACACAAGATCTGAGTTTAAGTGACGTACTGCGAGTAGCAAAGTCTCTCGAATTAAGAATTGTTATTGCAGCTGTCTAGAACAAAAATCTTGAAAAATGTGGCACTTTAAAGCATAGAAAGCAGGTTCTCCTAATGTTTTAGGTTTGTTTTGTCAAGATCTATAAAATTAAAATGATCATCTATACGTATTAATTCTATTGTTTTAGTTCTACTTTTACCCAAATCAACATGTTCTTAAAAATAGATACATTTTTTAATTTTAAATCTGAAACTATATGTAAAGAAGATTCATTTGTTTAATAGATAATAGAATAATCGTTAAGCCTTTTGAAATTAGTAACAAATACATTTGAATACATTCCATTTCATAATAATAATTCGCAATAAATTGTGAAATCTTAAAGATGCAGTTGCCAGGCTTGCATTATAAAATTAAAATAAACTCTACATCACTTTCTGACTCACTGATGTTTACATTTTAATAGTTAAGTGTTTATCAGTTTGAAGAGTAAACAGAAATCTAACGTTGACACTAGATTGCTTTAGTAATTTCCGATTTTGCAAAAGTATTTCAATAAATCATTTCAGGGTTAAAAATACAATTGATTTTAATTTCTATTTCCGCTCTGTTGAATACCATTTAAGAACAATTTTTTTAAGCTTAATAGTAAAAATTATTGCAATAAATTAAATAAGTAAGTTTAAAGAATTGTATTCGTTTAAATGTAAATTTAACAACAAATCTTTTTCTGCATCCTTTAATATCTTTTTTATCTTCAACTGATTAAAGAAACTAAAAGGTAGCTTGTTTAAAAATAAGAAAGAAAAAGATAATCATCTTGAATTGTTGCCCACTAATTCAGCAGTGTTGCGAAATGCCCCACAACACACACTCTCGCACACTCCATACACATGTAACACACATTCCTCACTGCACTTGGCAGCTACAACAACATTAACATAAATAATAAAAGCAACAACACGTAGCAAAGCATAAAAACGACCAAAGCGAAGCTCGAAAAATTTTCCTCTGCCTCCGCAACTCAAAACAAAAGCCCAAAGTGGGGGAAAAGAGAAGAAGAATACGGGAGAAGAGAAGAAAACGAGGGAGCTGCAGTGGAGCCAGGCAAGAAAAACAAGAAGAAGAAGGCAGCAAAAAGAGAAAAAAAGAAGACTGACTGACTAACTGGGCTCTTTGGCTTTTTAGTCTTTTAGCTTTTTTGCTGTTTGGGGTCGTCATTGGCGGCTTCCGTTGAATACCTACTGGATTTGTTGGTCAAAACATAAGCTTATACACAATTCCGCTAAAATTTTTATATTGAACAATGCATATTTTCAATTGGTTTCAACTTGAAATTCCAATATATTCTTCCCTCTGTTAGCTAAGACAGAAATGTATAACTTTTCAAAACGAAGCTTAGAGACCCGTAGGTCATATTAATATCAAGTAGCATTTAAAAATGGTTTAAACAAGAGTAACGCGATTAAATACAAACCAAACCGCAAACCAAAACATGGCCTAACGATAATAATTACACCAAAACCAATCTAGAGATAACAGAAAAGGAAACGATTCAAACTTTCTCATTATAAATAAGGTTAAACCGCATAAATTCCTTAAAAAATAATACCCAAATAAATCATATTAAAGTGTTTAAACTCTAAACATTCAAAGTAAAATATATCCCTATTAATTTTTGTGAAATAGGTTTAGGCATTTCTTTACTTTAAGTAAAAAAATAATATATGGATATCGTCATTATAGTGAATTAAAATTTCGTCACACCGCAAACAAATTCTAATTATTACTCATATTTATTGGTTAATCACAAGCTTTAATACAATAATCCGATTAAACATATTATTGAAAATTCCTTGAATTGATTAACATAAGCTTAAAAGATTTTATGAGAGACTTAATAACAATTTTGGGATTATTAATTATACTTCATTTTGCTTCTATACGAGTTTTTATAAATGTTGACAAAATAAATGTTTTATTGAAATTTTTAATTTTAAGATATGTTGCTTTACACGTTTTGGTTTTACTTTTTCTTCATTATTTTTGCAACAATAAAATTAAATCCGTACTACTCTATTTATTACTGAAATTATTCTTATTTATGTTATCTTTATCTAATTATCGATAAACAAAGATACAACTAAAAAAAAAACAAGTTGCTGTAACTGGAACTGCTTGTTTGCGTGTGGCGGTGGCAAGCAGTATCCGTGTGCCCGATCAATGGGCTGAAGCGAGATGGAGCCAAAATAAATAACTGCACCTTACACCCATACAGCCGAGACACACGCACGCACACAATCGCACCCAAAGGTATTCCCCAAACCGGCCGTCTGACGTGCTATCTCGCTCTGTGTCTCTATCTTGACGACAAAAATGTTCCACATTCTTCCGCTGTCTCTCTGCGATTTCAATGTGTTTTATTTATTTGTTGTTTCTTTTGTTATTGCCAATTTTTCTGTGTTTTCATTTTCGCTCTCATTTGTCTCGCTGCTTTTTCTTCGTTCACTTAATTTCGTTTTGGCTTTTATTTTTGGGCGAGCTATCTCGTAGGTTGCTTTTTCTATCTTTTATCTGCCCACTGTCTATCTGCATCTCGCTCTCGCTCGTTTTTTTGCAATCCTTCAGAAAGAGTGCGGCAGAGAGGGGAGCGTGTTTCCACACTCTTTTCTGTTATCATTCCGACATGCTTTTTGCTTGTGTTTGTTCACGCGCGCGTGCCTCTCAAGTTCAAACTGTTCTGCTGCGTGCTCTCTCTCTCTCTCTATTTCTTCCTCTTGCCCCCCTCCAACCCTGTAGTAGCTATCTCGCTCTGACGGCTCTCGTTCTCTCGGAGAAAGTTTGGCGCGTTTGTTATTGTTTCGTTATTTCGTTGTCGTCGCGTTTCTTTGGCGTCGCGGCCTCTGTTTCACGTCTCTCTCCCTCTTCACCCACTTTAGCCGCTCTAAACTCCAGAAGAGAGTTGTGGGAAGAGCGAGTGTGGGGAGCACAGAGAGTGTAAAAGGCACTGAGAAAGAGGGGAGCACGTTGACTCGTACGCACTGTCGTCGTCGTCATTGCTGCCTCTTCTTTGCCTATTTCTTTCGGCTTTTCCTCGGCGTTCCGCTTTTTTCGGTTTTTGGCTTCTGTGTCTTCTTTCACCTCCTATTTATCTTTCCCGACCACCACCTTCCTCTATCCACCGTGAGATTCATTAAAGAAATATGCCAAAGAGGAGAGACAATAGCAATAGCAGCAACACTAGTGGGGCCAACAAACTAGTTGTAGTCTTCGCATCTTTCCACTTTCCTCCACTCTTCTTCTTCTGGAGAGGTGGAGAACCTGTTATGGGCCACAAAGTCACACAGTCACAGTCACCGTCACCGTCAGCGAGTCGCAATCGCAGTCACAAAGTAACAAAGTCAGAAAGTCACAGAGCAACAGCCGCCAAGTTGCCACAAAGACAACCGTTTAACTGAACTACTGGAAGTCGCCACTTTCATTTACAATTCTCAATGGATTCCGAGTCGAGATGTACATAAATTTTATTCACAGCATTTTGAACTAATAGAACTATTTTATAATTCTATGGAAATTATAGATTCTATTGTTATATTTCTATCAACGAGACTTTTATTAAAAACAAATATTTATTACAACGTTTACAGAGATTTTTCGCTTTTAGTTAAAGAACTCCTTAATCTCAAGAAATTATAGTGCACTTGCTGGAAAACGAAAGTCCCTTTGTTAGTAAGATTTATTAGTCATCACGATAAAAAGATACTTTTAAGAAGTACATAACTTTTCTAACCAGAAAGAGTACCTGTCATTCGTTGTGTTAGCAATATTATCACTCATGGATTTCGTAATATAGTTCTGCTGAACGCAACCATTGATATCCCATACATTAAAGATAACAAGGTGTACTAAAGTGGAGTTAACCACGATCCTTTTAAATTAAAATTATTTTTGACAATGATCAAAAAAAAATTAAACAAAACAAATTAATAAAAGACGCAACATGAGTATATTAAAGTAGACGCACTAAAAAAGTTTATTATTAAATCTAGCAAAAATAAAAATGGGGCAACTTAGTGACTTTTAAGACTTTTGGAAGAAAAGTAATTTGAAGAATCAAATCAACCCATAGTTCCATAAACTACAATATTAAACCGTTATATCTAAAGTAGCCTTTTGTTTGTTTGTTTATTTGTAATGTTTTTCCATTAATAGTATTTAAAATATAGATAATAGATAATTGTTGAAAAGAAATTCCGTCTTTTTTGCAAAACATCAGAAGCGATAACGATAAACAGCTGGCACTGACCGACCGGCGTCTTATGCCAATCGATGAGAGCGACACGGAGAAAGGAGAATAAGACTGCGAGAGACTGCGATTAATGAAGACAATGAGAGAGAGAGAGAGAAAGAGACGTGGGATGCCGTGATCCCATGATCGGTGGTTTACAGTTACGCGCCGTGTGGGTGACACACCCCCGCAGTCGCAGTTGCCACAACCGCCCCCCTTAGCATCCTCACTGACCTAGATCTTCTAGGAACAACGACACAAGAAAAAAAAAACCCTGAAAACGAGTAAAAACAAAAAACAATGCAACTTACCAAGGCATAAAAGTTTGTGTGGCAATCCTCCAAACTTGCGCCGTTTGTCTGATGATTTTGATGCGTCATAGTTCTTGGCTTGTTTTCTTCGCACAACAGCAGCACCTCATTTTCTCAACTATTATTATTATTCGTATTATTTAGGTATTGTTGCTGCTGTTGTTAGGGATTTGTGATATTCTCTAGTATTTTGCACATTTGCTGTTGATTTTCTTATTTATTTTATTTCCGTTTTATTGATTCGGCTGCACACACACACATGCACACAAACACGAACGAACGCACGCGACAGAGAGAGAGCGAGAGAACGACACACACGGATACACAAACTGTGCTTCTGCCTCTTTCTCCTCCTCCTCCTCCACCTTCTCGTTTCTTTGCTTTATGATTTTGTTGTTGAATTTGTTTGTAATTTACTATTGGTGTTTGGTTTTGATTTGCTTTGACAGAATTTGTATTTATTTATTTATTTACTTAAGGACTTTTTGTATTTATTTTTGATCTCTCGTTTAAACGTAAACGTTGCTTTGGCAATGAAACACACATACTGTTGAATTATTCATGTTGTTGGTTGTTGTTGCTGGAAGATAAAACTTTTTATTAGATTACATTGGGCTCTCGCACTTTTCCTTTTGTTAATAGTAAAATAACTGCGTTTAACTCCGGTTGAAGACACACAAAATTTTCCGCGATTTTCTAGGTAGTTTTCTTATTGTTTTATTTTTATTTTTTTTGTGATTTGGGCTGCTGCTTTTCAGCTTATTTGTTGCTACTGTTGGCTGCTTTTCTCACTCAAACACACACACACGCTTAACCATATAATTACAAGGGTTCGTTCGTTCATTCGCTGTTTCATTCATGCAAAAGAGAGCGCGTGAGAGAGAGCGCGACTCAGAAATTGACTTTTTTCAATAGCAGGCAGCGAGTGTATATACACACACACTCACAGCCACTCACATCTTCTAGAAACACACACACTGAGCCAGCGACGATGGAAGTCGTTGGATTTTTCGTTAATCGTTGATGTAGACAAAAAATAAAATAGGTAAGAGTTTTTCGGTTATTTCAGCGAAATTCCATTTTTCTACAGCCAATCGTTTTACTTTGAATGCAGACAATAAATATCAATGAAATAATTTATTTAATTTATTTTAGAGCGCAAAAGGAGATGAGTAATGAGGTTTTTTGAAACACACGACGGCGACGTTACACACAGGCACAGGCAGACACATCACCGCGCACACAAAACCGCTCAGAGCATTGCTGATCACTCATTTCTCCTAACAGGAATCCGAATTTAATTATTATTTATAATTTATTACTCAGGCTCTTATTATTTATTATTTTTTTCGCACAGCACACACAGCGCGAATGACGAGTCAGAAATTTTCGAACCGACTGCGAACGCTGGCCGCCACACACAATGGAAATTTTGCTCGCCTAGCTTTGAAACAGCTATATCGTCGTCGCTACATATAGATCTGTATGTGCGTTTGCAGTTGTACTCGCGGCGGCGGCGAGTAGCGAGCAAGCGCGAGAGAGAGACAGAGAGCGAGTAGCGGCGGCGGCGGCCGAATAGCGGCTTTTGCTCTTTTTGCACAGAGAGAGAGGGAGAAAACAAGTTTTACCGCTGCATCAGTGTGTGTGCTTGGCGGCGTCTGTTTATTTCTTTCCCTCTAGCTTGCGCTCGCTCTCTCTCTCTCTCTTTGTGCATCTCTTGGGGATGCACAACCTTTTGGGTGAGATAGAGAGAGCAGATCGATTAAGGGAAAAATCTGAAACCCAAACTCGAACTCAAAGATAGGCTGAACGAAAAAACCAAAACTGAATTCCATAATTTATGCACTATACAACACTGCACACATACACTGGCGGCCAGCATTCCTCTCACACTCGTCTCGACTCACACACACTCACACAGTCACGCAGCGCGCAACACCTACATGGCAGAGCAACCACTTTCGTAGTTTTCTTTTCGCCCCGTTTCTCTGTTTCTGGGCAGTAATGTGTGTGTACACATCAGATTTTGAAATAGCTGAAAAATACAACGCACAAATAAAATGAATGCCACAGATAACCGATTTCGCACAGTTGTTGCATATTCTTTCTATTGCCCAGTCCCTCCTGCATCCTTATCCTCCTCCTTTTCCTTTTTCACACTCAACTGTCACACACACATACACACACACAGCGCCGGGGCAGCGACCGCTGTGAGGCAATTAAAAACTATTAAGCTGCAACGGAAATGTTTAAACACGGCTCAGACGCAATTTGCCACTTTGCGCGAAAACAATTTGCAATCCAACGGCACTTGGCACTGTTATTTATATTAATTTGTTGCAGCTCTTCTTTTATGCAGTACCACACACACGCACACACGTAGACCCTCTCACTTTTGCATTGCGTTTTTCGGCTTTCTGCGTTTTATTTTTATTATTTCATAATTATTGATCTAGTAATCCTTGGGTTTTTACATTTTGTGCCACTTTCACTTTCGATTTCGGACACGGGAAAAATCTGCGATCGATTTTAGTAATTGTAATTCGCAACAAATATCAAGGAAAACTTGCCGTCCGTCGGCTCAATAAATCGATGCCACTATCGATAATAGCGATGGGATCGATTGTCTGTCGGCCCTAGCGATGGTACTTGGAATATTTCTTAAAATTTTTATTTGAGACTGTTCAATTTGCAAATATTTAATAACCTGAAAGAAAGTTAAACAAAAACACAACACATTGTTGGTTTTACGAAAAACTGACAAGTATTTGAACTATCGATATAAGAATGAAGGGTATTCGATATCGAATCCATCATGGTGGAATCCTTGTTAAGAACAATAAGCCCTGGAATAGTGCAGTGGCTAATAAGTTAATTTTAAGTTGATTATTAACTGATATTATTTTGTATTGTAAATTTTTATAAGGCATTGTTCCACTTTCTTATGAAAATTTCGTTTTGTGGTTTTTTATTTGTGACTTTGTGTTACTACTTGCGGCGGAACAATTTGATCTTTCCTGAAGGCGTTTGTTACTCAAGTGTTGATAGATTTCCGTTTTTATTACCAATAGGTGTAACAAATATTTACTTATTTAAATATTTTACAGACAAATACATAATAATAATAAATAAAAATATAATAAAAAACCGTAGAAATTTTCCCATCACTAAGTGTTACCGCTCTATCAAAAAGTATGGCCATTACGTATGAGTCTCGGCTGCACAGATGACGCTGTGCAAAAACCTGTTCTGCTCCCGCCTTCAGCCGCCCGGACCTACCACCCCACCTGCGCTGTGGATTCCATGACACTGCGGTGGGGCAATAAAAACAAACAGAACGCTTGGCGGCCGCGCCTGCCCTGCCACCTGAGCGGCCAACTGTAAAAGTGGGCCGCCAGCGAAGAAGAAGCAGCAGCAACAACACGGCGACAGCGGCGCCGGCAGAGGCTAAAACAACCGATTGGATTCAAAAGATTTCACTTTTCGACTGGCGACTCAACGGAGCGGAGCTAAAAAAAACTGATTTTTCCTCTACCAGCAATTGTGCCTAATAATTGCGGTTTTGTACCTGAGAAAAGCAGAGCTTAAGAGCAAACATTGAGAATGTACCGCGCCAGGGGATTACGGAGTATTATGCAACAGTTGCATCAAAGGATTCCAGTTTCTGGAGAGCTTAATCCGTCCGTCGTTGCGCCTGCGCTGAAAACTTTCTCCTCGCAGCAGCAGCACCGTTGGACGTCAACGTCGACTGCGGCGGGCAAGCAATCGGCCAACGTCCAGGTGACTCCTCCGCCGCGCCACGACTGGAACCGGGCCGTTAGCGAGGCGGAGAGGATTGTGGGCTATCCCACCTCCTTTCTCAGTCTGCGATGGCTGCTTAGCGACGAGATCGCTAATGTGGCGCTCCATTTGCGCAAACTGGTGGGCAGTGCACATCCTTTGATGAAAACAGCCAAGTAAGTAAACCCAATCGGATGAAGAAAGTAAGAGTTTTACCACAATGCTCAATGATTTGTAAATAACTATTTTTTTAAGTTCATAGATAAATTAACTGTAGGGTACATCTTTTCTAGATTTATGTATCCATGTATCCATTCAGTGTTCAGACTTTTCTAGTAATCATAATATTCCTCTCTTTTAGGCATCTGCTCTACAATGGCAAGAACACTATGCAAGCTTGGGGATTGATTGTGCTTCTGGTATCCAAGGCAGCAGGACATGCACCCAGCGTGCCCGATGTGGAGCAGGACAAGAGCGCTGGTGTGCTCCATTCTCAGCGGGCTTTAGCTGAGGTCACTGAAATGATACGTATCTCTCATTTGGTGCACAATGTAAGTTTTATAAATTATTAACAACTTTACAAATATTGCAAATGGACAATTGATTAATTATTCTCCTCACTTTTTCTGTGTAGAGCGTGGTGAACCTGCAGTCCAGCACACAGGCTGGACAAGATGGGGCCACCTACGACGACATGTCCTTTGGCAACAAGATCGGCCTCCTGACCGGTGACTACCTGCTGGGCCACTCCAGCGCAGAGCTAGCGAATTTGCGTAACCAGGAGGTGGTGGAGTTGATATCGTCGGCGGTGCGGGACTTTTCCGAGTCGGAATTCATCGGCGAAAGGGATGAGCAAAATAATCCGCTGCCTTACAAGCCGGGTACGTTCCAGCGACCATCGCTGAGCGTTGGCGTGGATTTTAACGAGCACGATGTGATGTCACCGATGCCTATCGCTCAAGTTCTCGGTAATCCGGAACAGGAATGGGAATGCCGCAATATACTAAATGCCGGGAGTTTGCTGGGCAAGTCCTGTCAGGCGTCGTTGAAGCTGGCCGGCCAAAGTGAGGAACTCCAACGGCATGCTTATCGTTTTGGCAAGCATTTAGCTTTGGCTTGGCAGGCTTGCCTCGATGCAGAGCCCTTCCAGTGTCCCACACTGCCGCTGGATGCCACTTTCAGCCTGGTTAGTGCTCCGGTTCTTTTCCACCTGGAGCATGATCCCGCTATCTATGCCCAGCTGGAGGCGGGCAAGCAATCGGTGGATAATATTGACTACGAGAAGATTCACAAGGCAATCCTAGCTGGCCCGGCGTTGGCAAAGACCAAGGAGCTGCAACGGAAGCACACAGCTGCGGCTCTCGCCGTTCTCCAGCACTTTCCGGCCACAGATGCGCGCCAGGCCTTGGAGAATATTATTCTGGCCATGCAGGATCTGTGATCCACTACGAAATCGTTGTCTCCACGGGTTCTGGGCTTAAGTTTAGTTGTATTTATTCCATTTGGGTCACCCATCTTCTCCATTAAAGCGAACCATCTTTGACTAATCTTTGGTGGGTTTTCGTACTTAAATGTTAAACTTTGCAAGCTGTATAATTGTTAATTCAAGTTTATAACATGCAATGTATGATAATTCCCAAAAGTCCCAAAATTAGTCAAAATATATTTCTACTTTTTATATTGTTAACAAATGTAATAAGAGTTTCAATGGGAATTAGAGTTAAAGAGGTCCATCCGTTCTCATGCCCTAACACCTACGCATTGGTTTGCGCATCGCATTTCAATTCCTGAGCATCAGAAAAGTTAAAAATTATTGCTTAAATTCCAGTTTTAATGTAAGTATAAAAACAGAAATAATTTAGCTAAAGTTAGTTACAATTAATATGGAACACAGAACGTGGTTGTTTGTTGCTGTAATCCTTTAGCGTCTGGTGATCTTCATCAGAATCAGTTGCTTGCAGCGATCGTATTCAAAATACTGAGGAAAGTCCAGTGGTAGATGCTCCAGATTCCAGGGCTTATTTGCAGTCTGACGGAGGAAGTATTCGTACATTGGCGCCACGGAATCACAATCTTCCAGGGTGAAGACATAGCGCTTCTCTAGCGCCATATATATAGTCTTGGATCGACCAATTTGGTGGCCCCTGTCCAGAACTTGATCCACCACACCGATAAAGGCATCCGTGAGGGTATCGCAGTATATAACATCGGCGGCCAGGATGATATCGCTATCATCTATGGCCTTCAACAGCTCCTTCGATTGCTCTCCCCTTGGAGTTAGGAAATTAAACTCCAGGACGGACACCTGACCAGTTAGCAGCTGCGAGTTCCTTTCCACATTGCCGCGAATCAACTTGAGGATGCAGCCCAGATCCACATCCGTGCAGTATACTTTGCCGGCATTGTAAATTCCAGCTGCAATGCTAGTGAGGCCCACGCCAGCACCCAGTTCCATGATGGTTTGCTCCGCAAACTCCAGCCGCTTGGCAAAGAGGTAATCAGCCAGGAGGAGCGCACCGCGCCACACTTGCAGTCCCACCAGTCGGAGCTCGGTGGCCTCGGAATGCTCGAGTTCGATCACGCCGCGCCGTGGCCTTGGTACCTCAAGGTCACCATCGCTGTCCGCTGTAATCCCCGCCAGCTTCTCCTCCGGCGGATAGACGAAGCGGAACTTGGACACTGCCCGGCTGCCATCGCGCGTGGTCTGGTAATTGGTCTCGCTATAGATCTCCGACGTGACCGTGAACATGGTTGAGTTATGTATGCATTGCGGCTATAAGTGTAAATATATACATATTATATATGTTTTTAATGTTGCGGTCGTCGGCTGTGACATATTCCCGGGCTCTTCTGTGGCAATACGGTCGCACTGTCGCGGCCAATCGACTATCGATTGTTATGGATTTTATCGGTCTAGCACCTGTAAGCGGGAAACTAAAGTTATTTGCGGAATAGGTGCAACAGATCCTCTGAGGAATACGTGGAAACCCGCTATATATATTATGATATATATTTTATTAAGCAATACTATTTAGTTTCAACACTTTATAGTATTATTTATGCCCTTTCCGAACGCTCGAAGATTGGAAGTAAGAAATCACTATAACATTCAGTAAGTTTTGATACCAAATGTTATTGTCTCTGTATTGTAAATATTAAAAAAATATATATGATTTTATTTGTATACCAAAAGAATGTTTAAAAAATTTGCTTTAACAATTTGCTAAGGTTTCCATTCCATTCAATTATATCCTTTTAAATTAAACAATAAAAACATGTACAATCTTACATATAATACAGCTCAGAAAATTCGACCAGTCCAAAAACGGAATCTTGACCTAATCAAGTAATCCGTGACTTTTCACTCAATCTAAAGGTACCTATTGTTGCTCGCATGAATTGAAATCAGTCTAAATCGTTAGCTGGAACGAAGTAGAAGTATTTTAATAGAAAGAAATTTTTAAGGAAAAAATCATAGAGTATCAGTTTTTTGTATAAAACTTTTTCTTTACTTTACATTACTTTATTCAAAAATTTGCCAGTGAAAAAGTTCAGAACATTTTTAGAAACATTTGTACGCGTAAATCATGAATTCTTTAAATTTATCCAGTCAGGAGAGTAGTGTTCTCGATGCGTCGCTTAAGGTCACGGAATCGAAGGCACTGGAAATCGGTTTTAAGACATTTCTTAATCAATACAAGAATATTGTCAGTGATCATTTGTCCGAAGCGGAGGTCTTGGAGAAAGCTAAAAATCAGTGGTCTATATTGACGAAGGAGCAACAGCTGAGATTATTTCCGGTAACAACTGAACTAGAACTCGTTGCATTCCTTAAATATATTTGCCTAATGCTAATGCTTTCTATAGTTAAAACGGAATGAGGGCTTGAGTCCGAGTTCGGTAATCAGTGGGCAGCTGTTGGAAGGACCCGCACCGACAACAGCAATGATGCGTGACAGTGATACGGCCTTTACCAACTTCATGGAGACTTTCACAATTAAACTTTCGCAGAAAGCTGCGAAGAAATGGGAGGAAATGTCTCAGCGTGAGCGAGATGCGTATGCTGTTGTAAGTAAAGCTAAACGTTTTCAAGTTAATTGTTAATCGAATTATAACTCTTGTGATCTGTACAGAAAGACGATCTCTGTAGCTCATACAGTGTCTCATCGTGCGCCAAGGACTGCGAGCAGGGAGGTGACCCGCTACCAACCCGACTTTTAAGTGATGTGTTTGGGTCCGTCAGCGCAGACTGTGACAAAATGAAACGTAGGGCTAAAAAATCAAAGCATGCCAAGAAATGCCGAAAACCAAAACCTAAATGCAGCAGGCCAAAACCGAAATGCAGCAGGCCAAAACCGAAATGCAGCAAGCCAAAACCGAAATGCAGCCGGCCGAAACCAAAGTGCCGCAAGCCAAAACCAAAATGCATGCTGGCTAACTAAAAACTAGCATCATTCTCCAACCTCGTCTTGACCTTGTTTCGGCCATACCTTCAGTAGACAATTCCGGATCTCTAAATAAACAACATTCTAAATTAAATCTGTGTTGCATGAGGATTTCATTTGAATTTTCGATAGATTTGCTTCACTATGCCGGTTTGGTGCTCAGTCTTTTCTTTAAATTCACCCGCAAAATTCCATTTGTGTGACCAGTGCGGCCAGCCTAATGGCTATAAAAATACACCAGTAGGAATTCAGAGGGACCAAAAATATATAAAAATATCGGACAATCGATATTTGGGCAAACAAAATATCGCGATATATTTATTTATATTTTGATATATTTTCAACGAGTTGAATCAAAACATGAACGACGACGACCCAGTTGTGGAGGAGGTGAGTCCTTAGCCAAAGCATTTCCCTTCGCTGACTCCCCTGTGTTCCCCGTAGATACCAGTGTTCCTGTCGAAGAACCTGCAGGACAGCCTGTATCTCTTCCAATACCCTACGAAAACGGAGCTGCCAAACCACGATGGATCCGTGGTGGTAAACTGCTGCGTTAAACCCTTCGCCCAGGAAGTGAAGGTGGACTTCGGCCTGGACATCGAGTCCACGCACTTTGATCGGTTTAAGGGAGAGCAATTCGCGGTGGCCGCCGATGGCAAGAACACGTACGGAAGCGCGCCGCCAAAGGGTCAGGAGCGACCCACCTATAAGCGTGGCATTATGGACAAGCAGGCCTTTGTCAGCAGCCGATCCATCACCGATGTTGGCAAGTACATTGTGGGCACCTACACCGATCGGGAGGTCCACCTGTCGCCGCTTACCTCCATTGTTCAGCTGCGGCCGGCTCTCAGCCATTTCGACAAGGAGGACAAACGTAAGAAGGCGGAACAGAAGGCCCAGGCAGAAGACGCAGACGACGATGAGGTGCTGCAGCAGGTTACGGTGAAGTTTGCCCGCGGGAATTCAAAAATTCAAGCGGAAAGGAGCTGCGCGCCGGCACCTACGATGGATTCGTGCAGCGGATCGCAGACGAGCCGTGGTGCGAGGCTTATTGGCATGCGAGGGGAACGCCAACAGCCGAGTTGGAGCGCCAGAAGCTGTTCGCCACCAGTCACCAGAGCAATCAGTCGCTATCCCTTGGTCCCTCCGACTATCTCCGCCGCCTACTACCCTATGACGAGCATGTACAGCCGGTGGACACAGCACCCGCTGATGGAGCAAGCACAGCAGCGCAAGTACTGCCCGTCTACAACAAGGCCATGTTGCGCACGATGCCGCTGCTGGAGCAGCTGAGGGTGCTCCTGCGTGATGCCAGAATGCTGTCCTTTGCCGATGTCATTGAGATACTCACCGAGCACGTGGATCCGCATGTGTCGTCGGAGAAAGTACTGGCCCTGCTTCCCCATGTGGGCATCCTGCTGCACGGCAACTGGGTGCCACGCTCCGAGGTGGTCTTTCCGGAACGAATGCTATCCCACGCCAACGGTGTGCCCGCCGAGCAGATGATTCGCGCCAGGGATTATATAGTAAGTGTGCGGGGTTGGAGTTCAATCGTATTTTTTTTCTTTACACATTTCCTTTATTTTGTTCACAGCTTTTTCGGTTCTCCCGCACTGCTGGGCTGTTTCGCGCACAGGTGATGGCCGCCACCCAGCTGCCGCCGGCGGAAACACTGGACGTGCTGCGGACGGTGGCTCGTGTGAATAATGCGAAACGGTGGGAGCTGCTACTGCCACCGGACAAGGAGTTCGAGCAGAAGCATCCGGAGTTGGTGCAACGCCAGGAGTACCATTGGCTTGCCTCTGAGCAGCACTACAATGAGATGGACTGGGCTCGAGAGACGAAGCGCGTGAGGAAGCGGTCGACGCGTAAGAGCGAGTCCCAGTCAACGTCCATGCAACCGCCGCCACCCGCCCTGAATCCTCCAGCAGCTACGGAAGCGTAGCATCCGATGACCTTCAAATGGTGGAGACGGCGACGTAGTGGAAGTCTTATACATTTAGGCACTAATAAAACACAGACAAGCATGTTTATTATGTTACCAGCATTGACTTTGTGATTAGATCTGGGATCTTTTCCGCAAGCGAATCCCTGTTAGATTTGTTCACCTGGAAAAGCATCGATCTGGGCGACTTCCTCAACCGCTCCACCAACTTCAAGGAGCTATTTTCGGGTATTGTGATCACTAGAGGAATTTGTTTCTTCTGTATGAGATCATCGATGGTCGACTCAAATCGCTTGCTAAACATCTCCATTTTGCCCACTTCATCGATGACCAGGAGTCCAGGCTTTGCTCCATCATCCCTGATGTCCAGTTGTGGCAATGCGAGGTTCTCAAACTCCTGGACAAACACCGAGTACTTTCCCACTTTGGGGTGTCGCTTATCAGTCTCTTCTGGGTTGGTGATTCGTGCCAGGACCCCACGTTTTCCCGTTAGAGTAACCACATCGAATCCAATCCGTTGGCCTTGGCTATCTTCGCGCACTTCCTCTGTGTAGAATCCTTTCAATAAGTGATTCTTTTCACTTAGCTTTGAACAGATCCTTCGAACCAACGTGGTTTTACCCACTCCTAGAGTAGTATGACACATAAATCAGGTAATTGTTTAGTTATAAACTATTTAAGAGGTTACCGGGTGGACCTGTGATCAGAACAGTCCGAAATATGTCGCTTTCCATATTTTGTTTTGGTTTGGAAATTTGAAAGAGAACTAGATCAACCAGGAATGGATTACAAATAGTTCCATAAACGTGTAACAGGTTCTTTCAGAAATTCTTTATTTTTTACAAAAGTTACTTTGTGAATTATTTAGAAAATTATATTAAAATAACGTCGAAATCTTGGGATATCTCTACAGACTTTAAACAATTTTAACTTGGTTTTTTAATAGGTAATAAATGTATACATACATATGTAAATTATTTCTTTAATGGAATTTTCCAACGATATGGCAGCACTTGATAAAAAATTCTTTGCGCCACAGGAGACGCGCGTGCTTTTTGATCAGTAGATTAAAATAAAAAGTTTAGTTTAAAGCGTGAAATCGTGCCAGATTTTCGCCCTTTATTCAAGGAAAACAAATACAAGTGAAATTTCGTAAAATTACGCTGTAGATCAGTAATTTTCGCAGTTAAAAGTAGAATACGCAATTTCTTGGAATAGTTCCGTTAGTTCGCCATATTCATTCTCAACCTCCATTCATTTTTCGGCTGCTTTTGTGAAAAGTTGATTTTTAACTCCCGATTTCGGCGCAATGGATAGAGTGTGCGTAAGATGCGGCCAATCGGCCGGATTGATGTGCCAGCGATGCAGGGAACAGTATTGCAGCGTCGTTTGCCAGACGGAGGATTGGCAGCGACACAAGCACTTCTGTATCATTATGCCGTAAGTACACACATACATACATATGTACATCTTTACTTATTTCATGGAAATCAGTAATTAAGCGAAAAATGTATTTTCAGTCCCTTGGTGGCCTACCAAGATATCCGGAAATCGTTGAAGGAGCAGCAGGCCAACATTCCGGCCAATCCTGTGACTCCTGCGAAAGCTGAGACGCCAGCCAATAAGACCCATTCTACGCCGGACGCCACTGGGGTGGTGCCCACTTTGCAGCCCAAGAACAAGGAGGAGCAACTCTCCACGAACTGGCGCCAGCCAAAGCTGCCTGTCGGCGAGGAGTTCTTCGAGTGTCGTGTGACCTCCATGGAAAAGGAGGGTCCTTTTTGGGTACTTCTCTTAGCCAATGTGGAGAGCATGGAGCGCATGCAACACAGCATGCAGCGTCTTCTGCAAAATGGTAAGCTGACTCTAGCCGAGAGCATTCAGCTGGACTCTCTGGTGGTCATTACGGCCGACAGTAAAGTTTACCGGGGTCAGGTCCTAGGCGTCGACATCGCGACCGAGGAGGCTGAAGTTCGTCTGATTGACTTCGGATCCGTGCTACCAATTCCCCTTCGGGATATCTATGTCCCCGTTTCGAAGATGGCCGAGCGCAAGGCCTATGCCTTCCGTGTGAAACTGCCAACGAATACCGGCGTGGAAGTAAACAAGAACATATCGCTTCGACTGTTGGGGACTCGCACCCATGAGGGAATTTACCAGGTACAGCTGAAGCCCAAAATAACCACACCACTGGACCTGCCCGTGGAGATCCTGAAACTCAATCCGGAGGTCAAGGTGATACATATATTTGATTGCAATGCTCACCAGGACAAGGTGAAGCAGGTGGCCCTGCTGCAGATCAACGTGTTGGATCACATTACTAAGGACTTGAATGATTGCCTGGCAGCAAAGTCGGGCCAGCCCTTCTCCGGTCCTTTTACGGAGGGGAAGTCCCCTTTCTTTGTGGCCTCTCGCTCTTCAAACGGCAGCTTTCGGCGAGCCTTCCTGCTGGACCTAATCGAGAAGCCCGCTCCCAAGTTCCTGGTCTATGAGATGGACCATGGTCGCGTCTCCATTACCACCGAATTGACTCGCATTCCCAGCGAGGTACTGGGCAAGCCCATGAGAGTTTTTGCTGTTCAGCTGGACGACGATGTGCCCCAATCGCTTCTACATGAGCACACTGATCTTGCAGTCAAGTTCAATAGGGACATCCTGTCGAGAGAGGAGACAACGCTGTGCAGCGCTAATGCCTCCTTACTGTACAAGGGTGAGCAGATTTGCGTGGCTCGCTTGAGTACATTCATGGGTCAGGTCTCCGAATTGGGACACAAGTACTGGCGCGAGCCCATTGCAGACGGCGCCTTCGTGTTTATCAGCCACGTCAAAAGCTATAAAGAAGTGTTCATCAGCTCCAAGCAAAGCAAAGAGTACATGGAAATCTTCAAGAGCTTGGCAGCAAAGTGCGAGGCCTTCGAAGACTCCAGTGAGGTAGCAATTGGTTCAATCGTGCTGGTCGTTTCCCCATGCTTGGGTTATTTTCGTGGAGAGGTAAGCAGTCTGTGCATTTAATGGATGCAAAATTAAAACTAAACTTTTTCAGGTATCTAGTGTTGTGGACGGTCTTTTCGAGGTGCAAAACGTCGATACGGGCGCCAGCCACAGACTGAAGCTATCGGAGCTTCGCAAGTCTTGCCGATTCCTAGAAAATCTGCCTTTGAGCCTTATGCGCGTCAAGTTAAATATTAACTGGAGTAAACTAAAGGAAACTGTACCGGCAAATAGCTCAGCCACCCACATGCTGCAGGTTCTTTGCGCTCAGGAGGAGGAATTAAGACTGCAGATGGTCGATAAGAACAACGCCACGGTGGACCTTTTGTTTAGCTCGGGTGAAGAGCGCTCGTTAGCGAATCGAATGATGCAGATTATGTTTATGCCAATGCCGGGAAGCCCAAAATCCGATGAAGCACTAACGAAGACAACCCCATCGGCACCGATTGTGGCGGATGTTTCAGCAGCAGCATTGCCTCCATCTCCTCCAAAATCACCTGACCAGGTGAAGACCCAGCCCGTTAAGCGATTCTATTTCAAAGATTTGGCCAAAAAGCTTGTTCCTTTGGGCGATAATGTCGGCATCATGACACTGGGTACACAGGAATTGCGAAACTCTGGCTACATCACCGCCGTCTGCTTCGAATCGGAGTCTGATGTCGAAAGCTTCCAGAGTTTATTGAATTTGGTGGCCAGTCATGGTGAATGCACCCACAATGCGGTCGTCAACTATGTGCCTTGCATTGGCGAAGTATGCGCAGCTCGCTTTTCTGAGGACAATGTATGGTATCGCGGGGTTTGCCAAGATATAAAGAACGGCTCAGCTTTGATATTCTATTTCGACTTTGGCAATACGGAATACGTGGACTTTAAAGATCTAAAGCCGGTGAACAGCAACCTAATGCACGTCATCTACGCCACCAAGTGCTATATAGATGGCTTTGACAAAACTATAAACTATGAGGCTTTAGAGGAGTACCTCTCCAGCCATCCCAACTTTTCTTGCTCTGTTATGGATGGTCTGGAGACCGATACGCGCCTTATAAGGATTCCAAATATCTAGAAAATTCTGAAACTATAAGTCTAATCCAGTTAGGACTTTGTCTTTCTAAGCGCATCGTACTTTATTTCTTAGTTTAAAGCTAATAACGTTGGATGTACTTCACAGGAAGTGAGTACTTCCGACAATTTGATGAAAATCATATTTTTGTTCTGTTTAAGCGTTCACTAAGACGATTCTTGCCGGTTCCAAGGAGATCATTTAATGTTTTTGTTTCAATTATTTTTTTTAAACAATACACGACAATTAAGTTCTTTTATTAAAATATTAGAATGAGTCGATCAACGCAAGAAGCGTTATTACTTTTGTATTTTGTGTGTTTTCAATAAAAAACTAAAAATAAAAAACAAACTGGTTAATTGCCAAAAAGATTTCCATAGAAATCAGATTTAAAGCGGGATATTGGTGTAAAATAAATAATTTTAATAAAATAAATAAATATATAAATAAAATAATTCATTTAAAATAGTCAAAAATTTGCGTGTTTAAAACGAATTTATAATTGTATATTCGAATTAAGAGACCTCAATGGTAGATTCATAGGAAAACAAGAAAAATATGACCAAATAATAAATACGCGTAAAGTTAAAGTTATAAATAATAATGGGAATTTGCGAAAAAATACAATTTAAAAAATAACGATTTGCTCCTTATTATTTAGTATTTTTATCAGAGCATTGGTATTTTGTGACTACGGCCCCACTGCAGGTATATTGCGGCGCGCCGCGGACGGTCACACTGTTATCAAAACTTCGAATTGGAGCGTGCGTCGCGTTTTCGTCGCGCGTTGAATTGAATATCCGTAATTCCGATCCGATCCGATCCGAATCCAATTGTTGCTCGCGATCCGCGACCCATTGTGCCAGCGGTCGGACCCCTGTGAAGCCCAAGTGAAGTTTAGCTCGAGGCAATCTGCCTGCCCTTGCCAGTTGTATACCGTTTCCTCCTGCCGCCGCCTCTCCCCCAGCGCTCCTTCACCATTCCTCCTCCCATTCTCATCCGCGCGAGTGCGTGTGCGTGGCTGGCGACGATGTTTAGGCCATAAAGAGAGCCCAAAAAGAAGTGCAACAAAAGTTACCGCTAAAAGCTGCCAGTTAAAATAGAAATATAAAATAAAAAAACAACCCAACAATGTCGGAGGCTGAAAATTCAAATCAGAGTCCGGCCAAGCGCTCGGAATCCGATCAGGAGCTGCTCCTTCACCAGACCACGCAATCCCTGCTAATGGCCAGCTCCATGATGTTCGTGGAGACGCCCGGCCCAGGCGGCGGTGGTGGTGGTAATGGGCTTCCTCAGGTTCTGGGACATGGCCCGGTCCCTATGGGTTCCATGAGCTCCCTGCCCATGAGCCTGGCCGCCCAGCACCAGCACCACCATCACCACCCGATCCCCTACAGCGTCGACGAGCTGCTGCGGGAGAACAACGCCCTGCACTCGAAGATCAAGGAGCTGAGCATCGAACGGGATCGCCTGCTCTGCGAGGTATCCAATCTGCGCCTGGAGCTGGATATGTCCGAGCTGAAGAGGCTGCCCATCGATCTGGATGAGAGGTGAGTTCTTATGAATAAAACATTTACCTTACTTTTTATTTTATAAGATTTTACAATTCTTTATAAAACTAAAACAAATATGACCTACTAAAGATGTTTCATTTTTTTTTGCTATGGAATTCCCATCTTTTTCCCCACGGTCGTAAAAAATTCTAAGCAATGTCTGGCTTAAATTACCTTAATTAAATCTAAATTAATACATTAATATGTATTAATGGTTTATTGTATTGAAATTGATTTTCTTGAAATCTTTTTACTTGATTTTATTCAGAACAAAATGTGTAACAATCAATGTTAAAAAGCCATAATAATATAATGCTACAAGGGAAAATGATTACAAGATCGTATAAAATGGTTCAGGGTCTCTTGATATTTATATGTTTTATTGTAATTCATTTCTTGGGCTCTCTTATCAAGTCGTTAAAGTTCCCTATCAGGGCATCGAATTGAATAATTGTAAAGCTGATTTTTCATTCCTTATCGAATCAACCGTGTATTTTGCAAACTGATTAAATAAATTATGGTGATCATCAATTAGGATAACCAATAAGAACACTTCTTATAAGAGATCCTGATCTCTGTAAGCTTTGATTTTGCATAGAAGATCAATTTCTAGACGAACTCTTTCAAATGTAAAAATATAAGTTATAAAAACCAAAGATTCCGTTTTTGTCATTTCGATTGAGATCGCCATTTTCGGCTGCACTTCCGATGTTTCCCTTGGCCCCCAACCACACAAACTATATTGAGTCAACAATTTCTGGTTGAGTCACATTTTCGTCCCTTGTCCTTGCCACCTTTTGGCAGCTGCAGGCTGGCAAGTCCGTCTTACTGGTTTTTGCAACCCCTTTTTGCAATCCCTACTACCTGTGGGCTAATCGACACAGTCGCGGTCGAAATATTGCACCTATAAGTAGTTTTTTCTGGTGTGCAATTCCGATTGGAATTTCCGCCAAAAAAGTGTTGGCCTACTTATCTTTGCAAAATAAAGATAAGGTTTTTTAAAAATGTATATATTTTGATGGTACATTTTGTGAGTCAAACTTGCTATAAATTATCTTGAATAATGATCTATAAAGTGGACATAATTTATTATTAATTTTATATTTAATCTGCTTTCATGAGTACTCCTATATTCCTCTCTTTGCAACAAGTTATCAAAACATAGCGGATATTTCTATGAAATTAGCAAAAGATAGGAATTTCCGTACATGAAAAATCGCACACTTATCTGGCTGAACATTAGATAGTTTTATATACATATGTATTCTTTTGTTTTGAGCCTATGAGTCAGCTTTGTTAAAAATACCGTTGCTCTTCGCTTATCGATCGCACAGTTTATTGTATTTTCTCTGTTTGTTTTGCTCTTTATCGCTCCGTTTCCCTTGCTGATAAGTAATAGTGCCTCTCTAGGTGATAAGGGACAGAGTCCCAAATAATTCCCACAGCACCGTGAATTCAATGTTAAGTGCAAGTTTCGATCACTTATTCGGGTCTCGACGGGTAGATTAACCCGCAAATGCATGGGTAAATAAAAGGCGGAGATGTATTAATAACGATACGTCTGGCATTTGCCATTGACACAGGTCGAATAAAGGTGGAAATATCTCAATATTTTTCGTACCTGACTTTGTTTTGCATGTGGTCATGCCCCAAGCCGCACACAATCTGAAAAATACGACGTTATTTTTTGTTTTATACAGATACGTACGTAAATACATATATCCAAAGTGGGCGCAAATAAAGCGCAGTTATCTTTAACCGTTTTCTTCATTTCGGGTCTTCTTGGCCTCTAAGGTCTGCTAGAAGATTCGTGGGCTCTTCCAATTATTCGCTTTGCGTTTTCTGTTTATTTTTTTGCACGCTGCTTGCTCACCTTCGCCAAAACATTCAAATACAAAGCAGCAAAAATAACAAGAATCTTACGAAATGCAATTGGTGAATCTTCAGATACTCTTTCTTGGGTTGTAAAAACTAAGTTAACTATTATTATAATGATTAATAGTAGTTTTGCATCTTAAATTCAAAAAGTAAGTTATTTATTTAAACCTTTTCTCCAACTAGTATAGTTACAAAATCATGTTAATTATGTTTATCTGTTATTAAACTGTACACGTAATAATTGTTTATTCAACAAAGATAAACACTTTTGAATCGTTATAAGAATAAATGATTTTCTTGTTATGAAAAACGTATTCGTACAATTCACACAATAAATCAGTAAATAAACAAAAAACAAATGTGCGGAAAATTGTGATAAATTCTTCCATTCTCCATAAATAATATTTAAAAATCAGATATGTGTAGTCTAAACAATCTTTCAAATATAAACAAATGTTTAATTAACTTGCACTTCAATTATTGTTTTAATTAATAAATTATCTAGACTATTCATGTTCTAAAATATAATATAAATTACCCACAAAAACATAGCCTCTATTAATAAACACTAAAAAGTAAACGAACTCATTTATTCACATTTAAATATAGTTAAACTTCATGAGGGCAAAGTTTATATTTTAATGAGAACTCGCACGATTTATGAGGGGAAATGTGTCCGCCAGTAGTTAATTTCCCCTATTACACCATTCCCCACAACACCCACAACCTTATACCTTTCAATTAGCATAACTAAATGTAATGTGCAAATGCTTTTCGTGGTTTAGATCCATTCTGTGATAACCTTTTACAAGATTAGCCACACGCACACGAGTTCCATTCCAGATTGTGCATCATCCATGCTGGGAAAGAGTATGTGCATATGACAAGCGGAGAGACAGACTCAAAACTCAAGATCAGAGATGTTGTTGAAAATGTGCGGGCAGCTTTCTGTGTAAGGTTCCCCTGGTTTATGGTCATTGTTTTTCTCTTGGTAACTTCTGCATTTGGTCACTCATCGTCACTCACACAAAGATACATGCTCTTTCACACTGAAATAATACACGGAGAGAATTGATTAAAACTGAATTTTATTAAAAGTATTGAAAGTATATATTAATAATTAATTGTCATTCAAAAATGTGTTGATTTCAATTTAGAAACTTCTTTATATTCGGGAAAATAGTGCATATATTTAAGTTGTATTATATATTTAATGCATCTATAGTACATTAAAATATATCTATAGGGGATAAGAATACCCTGGAATGCAAATAACACTCAAAAGAATATTTTTATTGAATGAAGAAAGTTAGTTGAGCTTGTATATAAGAATATCTTTAATTAGATATAATATATAAAAAATATCATATATCTTAAAATATATCTTATCATATATCTTTAAATAAATGTCATACATATGAGATTTAAAAAAAAAAGTTGGTTAAGAAATGCTACCTTTTGAAGCATTACAATTCCAACTATTTCTGAGCTTGCTACTTGCATTTAACAATATTTGCAACTGTTGTTGACAAACCAAAAGCCAAAATATAACCCAAGAAACTATAAAATATTATAAAATGCCATAAAATATTAGAAAATATAACCAAATATATATCATAATCATTTTGTTCCGTGCATAGACAATGTCGTAGTTTGGCCTGCCACAGAGTTCAGCTCATTAGCCAGTTATCATCATCTAATAAAGCAGACACACGCACCGGGAAAACGGGGAAAGGAGAAGGGGATATGAGGAAAAACACTTGCCCATTTCAACAGTGCTTTTGTAGTTGTTTTAAGGTCTCTTTGTGATAATTAAGCGAGTGGAGAGGAGAGTCTATTAATTTCATACGCCCCTCTTTTAAAAATGGTCATGGGGAGG